AATAATGTGTACTCCAGGTCTCATTGTCAATGACCTCCATCAGGTAATAACTTTTATGATTTAATTTTTTGTTTTCTTTTGGGGCTGGAGAGATGGTTCAGCAGTTCAGAGTTTATACTATACTGGTCTTGCTGAGGACCAGAGTTGGGTTTCCAGAATCCACACTGGATGACTCACAACCCCCTTCAGCTCCAGGGGGATCCTACAAAGGCACCACATTCACTCGTGCATATCTGTGTACACACACACACACACACACACACACACACACACACACACACACACACACACATTTTTAAAAATAAAATAATCTTTTTCTTTCATTTTTTTCTTCTTCAGGCTGTTGTGCCCATAATATGCCAGGTATTTCATTTAAGTGGCTTAATGCAAGAGGGCTTTAACAGATCTCATTTTATGAATTGGGCCAGTAAAACTTAGAAGAGAGAAGGAGCCTAATCCAGTGCTACAGCTGGCAAATGACAATTGTACACTCTTTGAACCTTTGGAGTTTACTGCTGCATAACACCCTTACATATCAATTAGTCATGAAACCTATCTCACATATATTTGTTGTCACTCGGGGTCATGGAAAAGTGACTTTTATTTCTGGAACCAGTCACTCAGTGTCAGACACCCTTCGGGCTGGAGGTCAAGCATGCCAACTAGAACTGCCACATTGCACTTACTCCCTCCCGTAAGATCATTTCCTTGTGAATCTTAAATAACCATGTGGTTATGAGCCATACTAATTCAACACATAGTTTTTATGTATGTAATTAATAGCATGATAGTTGCTGGTTTCACTGTATTTATTTCTGTCATGTCAACTTTTGGTTTTACCTCCCCTCCATGTAGTTTGATATGCTTATGGAAATAGGCAGCATGGATTATTTGGTAAGCAAATTGATATTTCTATTCTTTGTGGGTGGTATTATGACAGTCCAGCCAAATCCCACCCACTCCTGTATGGAAATAGATTTCTGTTTAATGCTAACTAGGTTTCATGTGACAGTGTATTGTGAAAGGGTCTTCTTTTACTCTTGCCTTCCCACCTAAATTTCCTGTCAATGATGGTGGGCACAGCAAATGTTGCAGATCGCTGAGCAGGCATTTTAGTCAGTAGGAGTATCTGAGCCCTCTTTAACTGCTATCCCACTAAAGAAGGAGGGTGCCTTGCATTTCTAAAAACTAATCAAGTATCACTTCCTGTAGTAAATGGCCACAGAAATTCCTTCAGTTTACACCTCTATTTAGCTGTAAAAAAAGCATATTATGACATCTGCAAAAAAATATGGTGAAACCTGAGATCATCAGGTTGAAAGAAATAAGACACACTCAGAAGACAAATACCACATTTCTCTTATGTGCAAAATGTAAATTTCTATGTACATGTATGTATAAATGTACACATATGTATTGTAGGACATAATATTAGAAAGGAGACTATGAGAGAAGAGGAAGAGGTCTAAATGGAGGGGGAAACAAAGGAGAGCACTGCAGGAAATGTGCAAGACAACAAGGAGATAGCATTGGAAGAGGGTAGTTGGGGATAAATGTGTGGAGATGCCACAACAAAACTCTTTACTTTCAAAAGATTTATTTTATTTTTAGCATGTGAGTGTACATGAGTGCAATGCTCACAAGGCCAGGGGTATCAGATGCCCCTGTAGCTAGAGAAGTCCACAGAAGGGAAGGCCCAACACTGGACAGAAACCATGCTCGTTTGTTAGGAGAAACTAATCTGGTGATGACAAAATTGGGGCTCATCAAAACAGGGTTCTTCCAGTTTGTAAAAGGACCTGAGAGTTCACCTTAGGGACCATAACCTTGAAGGCCTGGCCCTCGTAAATTGGATTTCAGAGACACATGACTCCAAATGCCTGGTACCCGAGAATCACACATGACAGACCTCCACAAACAGAATGTAACCCCATCTTAATGACAGTAAGCATGCGTGCCTATATATCTGAAAGGAAAAGAATCTAGAGATACATTTGTCTTTTTCTTTGGCCTACTTGAGTTTTCAGGTTTGTAGAATAAGCACATATCATGTGATTTTTTTTAAGTAGAAAAAAAATACCCAACCAAACATTGACAAAGGGCAGGTTTAAATGAAGCATGATGTTGAAATTTGACAAGTTATACCTTGTCTGGTGCAGAAGGTTTGTAAACTCTTAGAAACTTATTGTAGAATGTAATTGAAGGCCTGATAGCCTCCCTTTCTACTTCCTCCTTTTCTTCCCTCTAGTGTACAGAGGATTTTGAGATTCTTTTCCTTAATCCTCTATATAAAGTTTCCTCCAGCCCCATCTTTAATTCGAAATGCATGAGAGCTTGATGAACACCACAGTATGTAAATCATCATGCAGGAGAGGGAAAAAAACTGCATCTTACCCCAGACATGAAGCCCTGCTTGTTTAAACTCATTCTCTGATCAGATCTGCTGAGTCAGTAGATGGCTTTGAGAAAGACTGTTTTAGCTGCACGTGTATGAGAAAATTGGGCAGAGCATTGAATGTTTTTAATGCAGAATACAATACGAAAGTACCCTGTAACTATGCCTAATGTTTGGTTACCCCACAAAAGGTCTATAACATAAAACTACTACTTCATAATTTCCATGCATTTTCAAGAACATTCTCTTGTTGCCATAGACTTTGGATATAGGAAATAATCTTATTAGGGAAGGAACTTTGAATGTCAGCAGAGGTGGAAAGGAGGTATGACACCTCCTTCCTCAGGTCCTGCCACCTATACCTCACCCTCCTCTGCCCTGTCATCCAACCTCAGGCAAAGAAACCAGTGTCCACACTGCTCAAAATAAACTAATCCTAATTTTCTTCTTTAAAAAAAAAATTGAGCCTGGGGGTGGTGACTCACACCGTTAATACCAGCACTTGGGAGACAGAGGCAGGTGGATTTCTGAGTTAGAAGCCAGCTGATCTACAAAGTGAGTTCCAGGACAGCCAGGGCTACATAGTGAGACCCTGTCTCATAAACAAAACAGCAAAAGAAATAAACAAAATCAAAGAAAGAAAGAAAGAAATTGAAGACAGAGTCTCATTACATTGCTCTGGCTCCCTTGAACTCGCTAAATAGACCAGGTTGGCCCCAAACTCATAGAGATATGCCTGCCTCTGCCTCCCAAGTGCTGAAATTAAAGTACTAGGATTAAAGGTATGTGCAATTATGCCTGATATTCTTTCATTTTTTTAAATTGACCTAATTTTTTTCATATTTTGGTCATATTCTTTCCCCTCCCCCTTAACCAACTCCCTACCTACCCAACTTCATTTTTAAATTTAAAACATGGTTTTTTGTGTGTATGTGTGTTGTTTGTGTGTGTGTGTGTGTGTGTGTGTGTGTGTGTGTGTGTGTGTGTGTGTGTGTGCGCGCGCGCGCTGTACATGCTGGTGGACAGAAGATATATATGTGGCATCAATTCTCTCCTTCCACCTTTATGTGAGTTTCAAGGCAAAACTCAGGTCATCAAGTTTGCGTGGCAAATGCCTGATGAATAATCTCATCACCACGCCCCTTGCTATGTTCACAAAAGAATTATCCCTTCTAAAAAAATCCATAAAACAATATCCAGAGCCACACGTGTGCAATGTTTTCTTCTATTTAATGAATAGGAATTCCTGTAGTCTGCCCATAAGTCATGCAATGACCTTAGTATTGTTTTCAATAGTCACATTCTCCTGACCTATGTATATAGATTTAAAAGAGCTGTTTTTCTAAATTCCCACTTCTAGAGTTGTGTGGTCTATATCAGTAGGATCGACAAGTGGTGATTTATTGAACCCTAGCTTGTGTTTCTTAGTTTCCCTTTCTGTCTACTACCTGCTGTGGTGTACTCCTAGGCTAGTAGGAAGGACCTGCTAGTGCCTGGCTGGGTTTGCTTCTGTGACTGCACCAGCCTCCATCCTGAGGGAACAATGTCTGTGCTGGTGCTTCCTGATCAAGAGTGTTAATAGGATGCAAATATTTTCTCTTTTAACGCATGGCCCTGGCATAGTCGGGCAGAACATGAGAGATGGTGCCTCAGAGCAGTAACTGTTTGCTTACAGCTTGAGAGTTAAAGTTAAGACCCAAACGTAGACTTCAGCTCCAAGGAGTCTAAGGTAAGTAACCTTAATTATCTTCAGAGGATCAGAGATAGATCTGAACTACTGGGCACCTAATTGTAAATAATGTTGCAGTCTCCCAAAGCAAAGAAGAACTTGAAGGTTATCTGTGTGGCCCACGGCTTAACATCACTATTTTTCTTATCAGACCTGATATCACAGAGAGGGCTAAAACTGCTGTACCTCAGTAGAGAGAGAGAATTGATGTGCTTCCTTTTCTCTCTAAATGCCTTAAGTTCTAAGTGTTTCCCATAGTTTGGGAGTGAAAAGTGTTTCCTTTGTAAATGTACTCATTCTGCTGTTCTTTTGAGGCTCTTTTGTCAACATTTTTGTTGCCTTTTCACCCATCTTCTTCCTTTGATTTAATCTTGATATTGTTAATTATACCCGCATCCTTTATATCATGTTCAGGATGGTGAATCTTCTTTACAATGATAGCAGTGTTTTGTGATGATTTGGATAATATGGAGAAACCACTGGCCACAGGCATGGAGGGAAATTTCAGTTGGTTTGTTACTTAATACATGGTGGGCTTCCTGAAATGCAGCTTAAATGAGCTTACTATCTCCTATTCCATTCAATAGATGTGTATAGAATGTTTAGACAGTAGGGACCATTTTGATGAGGTAGTCAGGAGGAGGATGCAAAGATGGTGACTTGAGGATACAGAGTGAGACATGTGTTAGGGAAGGCATAAAATGCTATAGAAAAGCCACATACTGCCAAACTCAGAACAAAAGCCACAGAAGACTACTAGGGGTATATGGTCTAATCTATAATCCTAAATCAGTCTCATTTTCAGAAGTTGGTTTCTTTATTCTCCCTGAACCTAGCTAGATACTGCAATCATTTTAATTCTTTCTTTAGGACGACAATATGGATACCAAATCCATTCTAGAAGAACTGCTTCTCAAAAGGTCACAGCAAAAGAAGAAAATGTCACCCAATAATTACAAGGAGCGACTTTTTGTTTTAACTAAAACAAGCCTTTCCTACTACGAGTATGACAAAATGGTAAGGCTTCCCTTCCTTGTTTTGTGCTAGTTATTATTTTCCCCAAGTCTCCACATAGTACTTGATTATAGTGAAAGAATGCCAGCTTTCTCAGCTAAGAGTGAATATCAGCTTGTGTCAACGTGCTACACTGCCTCTCTTTAACCAAAGTATGATGAAGCAAGAAAGGGACTTTTGAAAATACTCATTTGTTTTTATTAAGACAAAACATAATATGAACCTTAAACAGTAGTTCTCAGCTGAAGGAGTGTTTGTTTCCTGGGAGACACTGGACGATGACTAGAGATACCTCAGCTGTCACAACTAGTTCTGGGAGTGGGAGGGTAAGCACTCCTGGCATAAAATGGCTAGAGACTGGGGATGCCGCTAAAATACCCTGCAGCGCACAGGTCCTACTTCACAGCAAAGAGTTATTCATCCTCAAATGTTAGTGTGGAAGAAGAGAAATTCTGCCTTAAAACAGCAGTGGGAATAGCAACAGCTAGGTGCCATTGAGAACTTGATCATGGGAGAAAAACCAAAATGCCATCACAAAACTGAAACAAAGTGAAGCTGCTTCATGCCATTAAATCTTGATTTCTCTATTAACTACTTGGCAGGTGGTTTGAAAACAAAATTACACAATTCTCAAATAAGATTGCTAACTGTCACTCACATACTTGCTTTTGGAGAAGCAAGTGTTCATGTGTTCATAATTTAGAAACATGATTGTGACAGCCATGGAGCAACAGGACATGCGTCTCCATTGGCTTCCACATCCCTTAGTTTCTCTCTAGACATTAACTTGGTTGTACACTTTTAGCTGCTACCATGACACACCAACGTGATATGGTTTCTGGTTTGCTTTTGAATTCAGAAACGAGGAAGCAGAAAAGGATCCATAGAAATTAAGAAAATCAGATGTGTGGAAAAAGTCAACCTAGAGGAGCAGACACCTGTGGAGAGACAGTACCCCTTTCAGGTAAAAAAAAAAAAAAAAAAAAAAAAAAAAAAAAAAAAAAAAGAGGAGGACGGTTTCTTTAATATTTTCTAGTATTAGCTCACTGTGCACAGGAAAATAACAATATTGCAAAATGCTCCCTTGAGACAATGATAATGTCTGGAATATTCCCAAGTGGGTGTTGGCAGTTTGTCAGAACCCTCCTTGCCAACCTGCTTCCCTCAGAGGGAGGTGAAGCAAGATGAATGTAAGCCACTGCGGTCTGACCTGTTTCAGCTCTACCCATCTCTTTTATGAACCTCTGTGGTGTCTCTCTCTCTTGGGTAACAACAAGTAGGAATCCATGCAGGATTAAGTACCAACCCCACCCTGACTTGTCTCCACCATCATAATACGGTGAGAGTGAGTGTGAAGATGGAGGTGAGAGTGAGTGTTAAGATGGAGGGTGATACAGTACACTCCTTGTGCTTTGCTCCTCACTACAAGATGTCAGGAAAATGTTCTGCTGGAGGTGACCATGAATAGATCTCAACTAGCAAAGTCGGAGGAGGCAGCAGAACTAAACAGCAAGTGCAGAGGCACTGTAGGGGGAAATAAAGGAATGAAAGAGACTGCCGCAGAGAAACAGGTGGTACTGCACTGGTAATTTACACCAAAGATTCACTCATTCATTCATTCATTCATTCATTCAATCATTCATTCACTCATTCTTTTTTCTTCCTTCCTTCCTTCCTTCCTTTCTTTGTTTTTGAGATCTTTATTTTTATTTTATGTGTATGAGAATTTTGCCAGCATGTAGAGCATGTTGGGTTCCCTTGGAACTAGAGCTAGAGACAATTGTTAGCTCCCATGTGGGTGCTGGGGATCGAACCCAGGTCCTCTGGAAGAGTAGTCAGTGTGCTTAATCACTTAGCTATTTCAACAGCCCCCAGAATTCTTTTTTTTAACATTTATTTATTTACTGTGGGGGTAAGTGTGTGTGTGTGTGTGTGTGTGTGTGTGTGTGTGTGTGTGTGTGTGTGTGTCTGTGTGTCTGTGTGTGTCTGTGTGTCTGTGTGTGTGTGTGTGTGTGTGTGTGTGTACATACTCCCACATGCAGCAGCATGAATATGGAGTAAGAAGACAACTTGTTGGACTCAATTCTCTCCTTCCACCACGTGGGTTAGGGGGATCAAAATCAAAATCAGGTCATCAGGTTTGGTGGCAAGTATCCTTACTTCTGAGCCATCTCGATGGCCCATTTCCATGCTACAAAAATGTCTTTGGGAAGGGACTTAAGCTGAATTAGGCCCATCACAAAACTATCAGCCAGTTGGGGAAAACCAAGGGAGAGGGTGCCCATGGAGGTGACCCCAAACATAGCAGACCATAGAGGTTACCTAAAACCACAAAAGTTTTCCGGTCCTACGGAATTCCTAGCCCACTACTTGCATTTGTATAACCATAAAGATATATCACAAACTTTGAAAAACCAAAAAAAGAACCCTTTAATCCCAGCACTCAGGAGGCAGAGGCAGGCGGATCTCTGTGAGTTCGAGGCCAGCCTGGTCTCCAGAGTGAGGGCCAGGATAGGCTCCAAAGCTGCACAGAGAAACCCTGTCTGGAAAACCAAAAAAAAAAAAAAGATATATCACAACTTATCTCTGAGTATAATTGCTCATTTGCTAGAAAAAAGCATATTCATATGTATCATATATAAATAAAAGTAAAAATATTGAAGTAGTATGAGCCCAGTTTCTAGAAGACCTATCACGAGTGGTATGTGTTGTTTTCCAGTTGTAAAATAAGCCTGATCTAGAGAGGGCATTGTAATTTTCAAATTGGGGCAGATATATACATATGTTTGTGGTTGCAAGAGGGGACATGGGGTGTCCTCAGTGTAGAGGCAAGAGGACACCCGGTGTCCTGCTCTATCACTCTCCACCTTATTCCAGGATCTCCTATTGATCCTGGGGCCCCAATAATTGTCCTCTGTGTGACCTCCAGAGCAGTGGGCTTACAGGTTTGCATGGGAACACACCCTGATTTTCTTACCCCATGAGCTATCCCTCCAGCCCCATAAACAAGCATTGTCCTAAGGGATAAGAAAACACATAGTGTGGAGTGTCTGAGATGCTACATGATATGACAGAATGACATAACAAGGAGACACAGTTTTCCTGAATATAAACACAAACTGTAAACTGACCAGAATGTGGGAAAACTACCTAACATGGCATAGCAAAAGGAAGGCTGTCCTGTTCTGGTGGAAGCTCCACCCAAGCCCCTGGCATCCAGATACCCAAAGAGTCTGGGGTGTTCCGGTGGAAGTTCCACCCAAGTCCCCTCCCTCATCTCTCCCTCCAAATCCTGCCTCATCTCAGAAAGCCCGCCAAACACAATTCCTCCCTCAGAGATGCTCAAGACCACTACCATAGGATATTTAAACTGCCCCCCACCAGAAAACAGACATGTGGCTTTTCAGTCTCTCTTTCCAGTCTCCTCTATGGAGATGGGCATCGGAAAATCACCCAGGATCACTGTATCCATTAAATTGGGTTTTTTTCTAATTTGGTTTGATTTGGTCTGATTTGGATTGCTGCATTGGCAGAGAAGCTTATCGGGGTGCTTTTCATATTCCATCCCTGGAAATATTTCTTAAGGATACAGAAGATAAAGGTTTTCTAATTATGAGAGGAATTGCCTATTGGTTCGAAAGATGAACCACAGAACTCCTATGAAATATGTAATTTACCATATTATAATAGTCCCTGGTCTAGGGCACCCCAAATGAGACTTTAATGTCCACCACTGCTCCATGCTTCATTGCTGTGATTTTTCCCAAGTGCTCATGTGTCTGACACAAAACATTGAGATATGGAAGACTTAAAAACCTGTAGTTGTTTTCACATAATTCCAAAGCTAGTATATGTTATATGAAAAAGAGGTTTATTTCCGATAACATAAAAATTTACGGATACACCAGATTGAACCATGAAACACTTGTATCAAAATTCATTGCTATCTTTTTCCTTTCCAGATTGTGTATAAAGATGGGCTTCTCTATGTCTACGCATCAAACGAAGAGAGCCGAAGTCAGTGGCTGAAAGCACTGCAAAAAGGTAACAGAAAGCTTGAAGGCTTGAATTGTTTTCCTATTGAGCTCAGGCAATGGGCTGTATTTATGCTTGCTTTTGTGTTCTCAGTGTTACAGACAGGAAGCCTGGGGATCACCTTTACTTTCACAACTAGCACAGAGCTAGCTATTGTGTCCTCCCTGGCGGGAGGTGGGGGGGATGGGGGAAGCCAGACCAGCTGCGCTTCCTGCTGCACCTCAAGTCCTGTTGGGAATATATTTCCAATACTCACAGACAGTGCTAATAGCACTGAGCACTTACCACTTGCCAGATACTCTATCAAGCACATGTTGCATCTTGTTGCATAATCCCCTTGACAACTATGGACAGGGGTATTATTAGTCTTCATTTTTCACACAAGTTTAAAAGAAAACAGATGCATGCCACAAACCTTATTAATGGGAGTCTCAAAATTTAATTACCTGAACCCAACTTTTAAAATCACAACATTGCAAGCTAAGTAACTGTATTTTTGCCCCAAACTGAGGATTTGATGAATATCTTATTTGTGATTTTTCAGCTGCTATGGTAACAAGGGAGAGAATTGTTGTTATTAATTTAACACCATGATATTTCCCTCTGCAATCTTTTTGTTTTCAAAAGGGTCATATTGTAAGGATAGCGTTTAACTCAAATCAGTGACTCTACTGGTGCAGCTTCGGGTTTTAACATCCTAGACTGAGGAAGATTTTGGTTTTATGTTTATGATTTAGATTATGGCAGTAGCTCAGTACACCTCAGATTGCACACACCCACTCCACATCAATGCAAATACATCCTTTCCCACATGTAGTTATCTTCATTTTCCCTTCATGTGAAAGGACTTAGCAATCTATTTTGAGGAGCAGCCAAGTAGTCATTAAAGAGAGAAGCATCCCTCATTACCTACAATCATCTCAATGAAATGAGACAGACAACCTCTGCCAGAGACAGGCAAACCTGATTGCCTTTTCATCTATCTTATATAACACATCTGGCCCTTTCCTGACCTATAAATCGAGGAGCATATTTCTTTTCTCCTATACCAATTACATGTATGAGTGACTCTGAAACATATTAAAATATCCTTTTACACATAAGGCATGTGGATAACCATAATGGAGCTTCCAGGCGGAGCCCTAAGGTTTTGCTTCCCAGCAAACCATCTTTGGGGGAAACCCGTAGGGCTCATTTGTCATATAGATACTCTCTATATTTTAGCACTTTTTTAGACCCTGTGTCTCCATTTGTGGGCCTTTCTGGAACTATCCCTATTGCCTAGGCCTTGGTGTAACACATGTGATGGTTTATAGATGGAAAAGGAGAACGAAGAGACAAGCAACAACATGTCTCTTGGTCCCTCATGAGACTGTAGTGTCTCCATCCCTAGTGATGCTGTATGCACAGCAGAAAGTGTGTGCCTGTTAGCAGTGCTTTGTGCTAGAGGAGAAAAGACATCAAACGATCACTTGAACAAATCTATTTGTGCTTTCTCTCCCACAGGAGTGGGAGGCAGGCAGTCTTGGGACTGGGCAGCCATTCAAGGATGTCAGGGACACAGGTTCCCTCTAGCTTTCTGTTTTACCATTCTTACAGGAAGGTTCTAAACTGTCTTGGAAGGCCCCTGCTGAAAACTTTTGTTCATGCTATATTTCTCAGAAGTAGGGTTCATATCTATCTCTATGTACAACAGACATTGAAAAATGGTATCTGTTATTTTTTTCCAGTCTCTTGCTGGAGGATAGACAAGGTGGGTGAGAGTGTCATCAAGTTAGCAAAAACTAACTTACCATGGGGAGACAAAGGTTCTCATTTAAATATTTCCCCTTACAAACTCTCACCAATTTAAATTATATCAGTCTATTTAACTCTGTAAGAGTCATGATAGCAAGAACAGCCGACCCTTAGGGGTAGTAGTAGTATGTAGACTGAGCAATGCATGTGGTGAAAAATACATAATGTCACATACACTTTTTAATGTCATCATTAAGTATTGGGATTGCTGCAATGTGGACTTGGGGACTTGGTCAGAGGATTAGTTACCCAGGAAACTAAATCCTTTTAGTTGGAAACATTGGGAATCTTGACACAATAAAAAGGAAACATTTAGACAGCAAGAAAGTATGCAATATGCCTGGGGAATATTTGGAACTAAACTCAGAAATCAACATTTTATAATCTTAATTCATTCTTTAATGATTTACCTTTAATGCTCACTAGTATAGTTTTTCCTTGGTGCTGGCATTTTCAGCTAAAATGAAGTGAGTCGTACTAAATGAATGTCATTATTAAAACCCACTTTTCACTGAACTATATGAGACCAAAGATTTATGTATAGCATCCTATCCCCTTAGTGACCAAGCCCAATATTAATTATTATTCCTTAAGTGAAGTTAATAAAGGAGGACTAGGACTCTCTGGGTTCAGAGTTAGGAATTTCCTAGATGAACATAAAATCAAGAAGGAAGAATTGAAGTGGAACAGTGAACCAGCCCTCCCCACCTAAAGATACTTCTTGAGCTCTTCTCTGATAAATCCTTAGACATCTTTCAGCTGCATTGCAAAAGATGTTAATTTCTTGTAGATATAGTACTATATTCCAAGATTAGAAATTTATTGGTTTTGATTGACATTGCCTTATTCTCATGTTTCATTTTTCCAGTACTGGAGCTGGAGTCCAGGACTTGGTGCATGCTAGGCAGGAGCTCCACTACTAAGCTGCACCCTTAACTCCTCTTTGCTAATACTGTCACACTGTAGTTGGTGTTTTTTTTTTCTTTTAACTCTTTGGCTTTTGGGGGGAGTCCACCACTCAGCTCCTAAGTAAATCACATGGAGTCTTATTGTTACTTATGAATGCCCAGCCTTAGCTTAGCTTGTTTCTAGACAGCTTTTCTCTTTTTTTTCTAGACAGCTTTTCTTAAATTGACCTATTTACCTTTCACCACTGGGCTTTTATCTTTCTCTTCTGTATATCTTGCTTTCACTCTTACTCCATGGCTGGCTGTGTGGCTGGATAGCTGGCCCCTTGCCCCCTCCTTGTTCTTGCTCCCAGATTTCTCCTATTTATTCTTTCTGCCTTCCAGGCCTGCCTCTCCTTTCTGCTGCCTTGCTATTGGCTATTCAGATCTTTATTAGACCAATCAGGTATTTTAGACAGGCAAAGTAACACAGATTCACAGAGTTAAACAAATGCAACATAAAAGAACACAACACATCTTTGCATCATTAAGACAAATGTTCCACAGGATAAACAAATGTAACACATCTTAAAATAATATTCTACAACAACACACACATCCTAGAAAAGTAGCCCCTAGCTAGATGTGGTGGGTGAGTCCTGTAGTCCCAGCATTTGGGAAGCGGAGGCAGGAGAGTCAAGAGTTCAATGTCAGCTTTGGCTACACGGTGAGGCAAAACTAGATGTCTATACACAAGACCTTGTCTCAAAAAAACATGGCTTCCCACCTACTTCAAATTATTTATTCCTTAGAGTAAGGATGTCAAAATCATGAAAGACAAGCAAAAGATGAGAAATGACTACAGGTCAAAGACAACTAAACAACTAAATTTCATACATAATATTGGATAAGAACTTTGACCAGAAAGAATAAGTCATTTGAAGAACATTATTGGAACAATTGGAGAAAATAAAATATGAATACATATTCAGTTTTCTGAATTTCAGATTTTGCTTTATAGTTAGAGAATAAGTATAGGTAAGAGAATAAATATCCTTGGTAACAGAAACTGTATGGGGAAATACTTATGGGTGACATCATTCATCTGTCAGAAACTCTTCTTTTTCCTAATCTCTAGTCTACACTCAGCCTACTTCTGCCACCAAAGAACATCAGGTGCTACAACCCATTCAGGACCTTCACAGACCTATTATAAAATCTTAATGGCAAGCTGGCCAGTGTATGCATTTTCCCTAACTTTTCCATAACAGAATGACACATTATTGTGCTAGGGTTAGACTGTGGATCATGCCGTGCTTTCTGTTTATTCTTTGGGTTTGTTAACTTCTGAATGAAAGCCAACTGCTATGGTAAACACTGGGTCTTACCTCGGTTGCTGGGAAATGAGATTGTCATTATACTGAGATTATGGTGTTTACTTACTGCATTGCTTCTCTTGGGCCAATGTCTGCTTATGTCTTGTGTCCTACCTACCTGCCCTTCAGAGATACGGGGCAACCCCCACCTGCTGATCAAGTACCACAGTGGCTTCTTTGTGGACGGGAAGTTCCTGTGCTGCCAGCAGAGCTGCAAAGCAGCCCCGGGATGCACTCTCTGGGAAGCATGTATGTGAGACTCCCTATTGCACTGGACCTCGGGTGGGTGGGGCTCCACTAGGTCAAACCTGCCCAGTGCTAGACCAGTTTTCCAGAAATAAAACATACCATATTGATTGACATCATAGTAATATAGCTTTGTGGATGCTATGCTGAAAATGAAGTACAATTTTAGTGTAAATTGAACCATACTCCCTCAATATTAATCCATGCCTTTGTCATATAATGAAAAATGTTTTTAAAATTGAAAACAGAACAAACAGACAGAGAGAAAGAGAACATGAATGTGGATGGGTAGGGAGGTGGGGAGAATCTAGGAGGGGTTGGGGAAGAGAAAAGAATATGATCAAAATATACTTTATGAAAACAGTTCAACAAAAACTTAACAACATGGACCAAGTAATGACCCATTAATACCTCTCATAACTCTTCTAGTTTAAAGCAAGCTCCTTAGAAGTAAAATGTGGCAAGCATATCACCATGGATCAAATAGCTAGTTTTCCCACTTGGTAAGAAAATGAGGGGCCGGTTAAGCGCAGCAGCTGCTCTTCCAAAGAGGACCTGGGTTTGATTCCCGGCACCCACGTGATGCTTCACGTCTGTCTGTAACTCCAGTCCCAGCAGGTCTGGTGCCTTCTTCTGCACTGCTTGCATGTAGTACACAGATACATCCAAGCAAAACATCCGTATACAAAATAAAAATAAAAGAAAGGAAAGCTTTTTGTGTATTATTTTGTTTTTAATCAAAGGCAGGCATGGTAGCATATAGCTGTAATCCTGATACTCAAGAGGCTGAGGCAAGAAGATTATAGTTTGAGACTGGCCTGAGCTACATAGCAAGTTTAAGATTAGGCCTCATCCTGAGACCCCATATCAAGCGCACGCATGCGCTCGTGCGCGAGAGAGAAAGAGACAGAGAGAGAGAGAGAGAGAGAGAGAGAGAGAGAGAGGGAGAAGGAGAGGAAGAGAGGGGGAGCTCAGTTCTTTCTTCTTATAAAACAAAAATATGAAGCAACTCTGCTTCTCAAATATATAGCAAAAGATACAATTTAAGTAATAGTTTTAATTATCACATATGCCAAAATGATGATGTCTATCATTACAATATTTATTTAAAGTTATTGGCCATTCTGTATGGGTGTGTTGATTTCTTAATAACTTGTGGAAATGAAGTATAAATTGCTTATAGGATTTAGAGAACTTGAATTTCAGTTCAGACAATGTAATGTATCAGTTGGTGGTGTTGAAGGAATGCTATTTGAGTTGAGCATTACACGAGAAAGCTCCGGAACGTCTTCAAAAGTTGAGTCTGAGTTCAGTGGCTCTGGTGTATTGTTCATGTGGACTGGTTCATTGTTTTGATTCCCAGTGTTGGGTGTTTTCCTTTTTTCTGTGTGCTCTTACTTTTTAGATGCTGATCTGCACATTGCAATTAATGAGGAGAAACACAGAGCCCCCACTTTCCCAGAGAGAGTAGTAAGTCCATTTTTCAATTATTTTTTAAGCTAACATAAACATTCTGGAATCTTTGTACATGTGTGCCATTCTATTTTGTTCTCACTCATCCTCGCTCTTCTCTCCTACTGGTTCCCTGTCACATTCTGCATGGATGCCCCACGTATTCCACTACCCTCTTGTCTTCCTGGGTCTGGCTTGTTTGACTTAATATAGTGATCTCCAGTTCCCATCTATTTCTCCTCCAAATGTCATGATTCCGTTTTTCTTTACAGCTAAATACAATTCCATTGTGTATATGGATCACATTTTTATCTATTCATCTGTTGATGGAAACCTATGCTTGTTCCACTTGCCAGCTATTGTGAATAGCGCAACAATAAATGAACAGCATATATGGGTGTGTGCTGCCACTCTAGTTGGTGGGGTGAAGTGGGGGCCTTATAAAATGAGGCAGACTAATGTCTCACGCAATACTCAACTTATTCATCATCAGACAATTTAGACTCTGAGGGGATTCTGACAGTTAAACAAGGTCAAATGAGCAAAGGTAATGAGAGATTAAGTTGTATGCAGTCACAAGGACGACCCAGGCTTGGAAACTTCTTTGAATAAGAAAAGTAAAATATTGAGCAATCTGAAATAAACCCACTCCTATTTAGTACACCTGGGAGGGGCACGAAACACATTCCAAGAACAACCCATGTTGTAGGAAACAGGTTACACGACTCCTGCTTCGTTTCCTTGGAGTTATCTCACAAGCTCTCAGAAATCTCACACAGTTGCATTCATGGACCATGTTCCAACAAGTGTGCAATTATCTTTGTGCTAAGTCAATAGTCTGAAAAGTGTTTTCCAAACAGAATATAGTAAACAAACTAACAGTTGTCATATTCAAGACTAAAAAATGTCTAATTCATACAAACTTACCAGCAGAGAGAGAAAAAGCTATGAGCTACCACTTAATCCATAGTTAGTATTAAATAATGTATTCAAACATAGAACCATTGTAATATTTTATTATTTATTAACTACTGACTTACCGTAACCAGCAATCCTATAAATAGCCAACAAATTGCATTCATGTGAGACAAATCTTTATGGCAGCATCACTCATAACAGACGATATTTCTTTTCTGACAAACATGGACAAAACTACCTTGTAAAAATATTCTGGTGATGGAATGAGAGTCTATGGAACACAGAATTAAGTAACATAATTCATTCCCTCTGTTATTCTCTCCAACTATTTAATGCAACTTGCCTACCTCCAGACAAATTCTTTGACAGATTCCATAGTTTTCCAGTCACTGTCATATGATAAAAGTCTCCCCAATTACTGGTCATTAGGACAGCCTCCAAAGAGAACTGGGCGTAGTGGCTCAGCCTTTAATCCTAGTACTCGGGAGGCAGATGCAAGTGAGTTCAAGACCAGCGAGTTCCAGGGTAGACAGAGCTACATAGTGAGACCCTGACTCAAAAAAAAAAAAAAATAACCAGCCTCCAGAATATGTCTCTATCTGTTGTTGTAGCTACCCTATTCTACATTACAACCTCTTCCCTTTACCTCACTCTGGTCTTTATTAACTGGCAGCCTTCTTTGGAGCAGGATCATGGAACCACTGGGCCTTCTGATCCTTTCAGGGTTGAGCCAAGTAATAAGAGTATAACTATACATGGTCCTATTAAGATTTGGTAGTGCTGGCAGCTGCATGAGTTTCTCAAATGTCAATTTTCTGCTGAGGGGAGCAGATAGAAATGGAACTTTATGACAGGAAAAATGTCTTGATAGTCAGCCCTTGCATTTGCCAATCCCTAAGGCTTACATTGGGTTACTCCACCTATTTTAGACAGAGTCCCTTCAAGATTATTTCTAGGCAACTTTTTCCCAGGGGTGGGGCCTTTCAATAGGAAAACAAACAAAACTTTGACAGCTCTTCATCATTAAAATATATGCAACTTGCCTGTTGATAGCCATGACTTTTTACTTTTAGGTTCCCAGTCAGGTGGCAGCCCCTTCACATGTCAGAAGATGTTTCAAGTGGCCTCCGGGTTCCCTAAGACATCATCTTAAATGGGCCTCTCAGACCTATGGAGTGTTTTAAGTTCTGATCATTTCTCCTTCTGAGAAAAACCTATACCATCTTCCTGAACCAACACAACTGACAAAAATAGCTCATTTTTAAGAATAATTCAGTAGTATTCCCCGATCTCACGTCCATACAGAATTTCAAAATGAGACATTATTTGCAAACAAGATATTTGCAGACATAATTTATAAAGGTCAGGATGAGAACATGCAGGGCAAGAATGGGTCATATGGCTGAAGACTGGTGCTTTTGTGAAATCGGGGACACAGGGAGATATATACATAGAAGAGATGGCAGTGTGAAGACATTGGAGTTATAATACCATAATCCTGATGCGATGCCTCATGTGTAGTCAGCTGTGATGGCCTTAGGAAGCAGGGACTAGCCAGGCTGACTCCCCATTAGAATTCCCAATGTTTTTTTGTTTGTTTGTTTGTTTGTTTTGCATTTATGTTACATTAAGGGCAAGGCTTTGCTTTTTTAGTACCCATGTCCTACCGTAACTCTCAACTTTTTTTAAAATTAAAAAAAAAAAGTGTACATAGAAAAAAGTAACACCATAATCCAAGGAACATTTGTTACCCACCAAAAGCAAAGGCAGCAAAGGCATGCCTTTCCTAGAACCTTTGGAGAGAATACAGCCAGGGTGGAACTTTGAATTGGGACTTTTTACCTCTAGAACTGCAAAAGGAGAATTTCCATAATCGTAGTCCACCAAACATGTGACAATGTGTTATAGTAGTCCTAGGAAATAGGTAGGGCTGTTTGAGCTTTTATTTTGAATTAGAAACATTGCTGTTTGTGCTTGCTGCAGGCCTGCTGTTTGAAACTCACAAATCTTGGGCTGGAATGGTAGCTCAGTAGTAGAACACTTGTCTAGATGCACCAAGCCCTGGGTTCAACTCTAGCATTCAAAGCAAGCAAAAAATTATGATCTTAACAACAATGTCTAGAATGGACAAAGTTACAAAGACAGATGTCCAGGTAATATTGCCTGTGATCAGCACAGAAATGGAAATTGACTGCAAAAGGACAGGAGAGATTTTATAGGAGTGATGAAAATATGTCAAGGATAGATTGTAATGATGGCCATAGAACTGGATACATTTACTAAGTCACTAAATTCTACACTTAAAAAGCATAATTCACACTGAAGTTTATTTCAAGCAACTCTAAGCACAGAGGGCAGATTAGGAGCTAGAAACCAACAACTCTTATCTCTTGCAAGGGATTTTTTTGGGAAATGTGTGGAAAATCAGCAGACCGCTCAATGGCCCAAGGGTTCCAAGTCTTTTTATAAAAATATTTGAATCGTTCTTTAAGAATTTCATACACATGTGCAACATATTTTGATTATATCTACCCCCTACTCCTTCCCAGAATCCCAATGGCACATCCTCTCCACAACTTCATGTCCCCTTCTTATTTTTTATTAACACACAAAGTTCAATTTGTGCTGCCCACTTACTCATGAGTATGGGGTCATCCTCTGGAGTGTGGTCCACTTACCAGGGCACATCCATGAAGAAAACTGACCCTCTGTCTTCCAGTAGCCGTCAATTGCCAATAGCTCCTCTTCTAGGGGTAAGACCCTGTGAGCCCTCCTCCATGCTGGAATGGTGGCTGTCTTGTCTTGAGTGGGTCTTCTGCAGGTGACCCCAGTTGCTCTGAGTTTATGAGTGCAACAGCAATGTCGTGCCCAGGGGACAGTGTTTGGCAGGAGTCCTCCACAACCTCTCTGGTTTTTACAATCTCTCTACACACTCTTCTTTAATGTTCACAGAGTCTAAGGCTGTTTTTGAGTATAAGCTGTTAAAATTAACCAAAGATCACAGAAAGAGTGTGTCGTGAAAGGAATAGGAACACCCTTCTCTCCCTTCACCTCTCCCTCTTCTCCCTTTCCCCCTCCCCCACTGTGTGTGTGTGTGTGTGTGTGTGTGTGTGTGTGTGTGTGTGGTTATAAGACACACTATAAGTGGTTATATTTTATTATTATTGCTTATAGAATTCTATCATATGATTATACTACTGAACTATTTTCTTATTGTTGCTTCAACAGATTACCACAAATTAAGTGGCTTAAAGCAATGTGATTTATTAAGTTGTTGCCTCATAGTTCCGAAGTTCAAAAGCCTGACTAGGTCTGGTCAGTTGTTTCTTCTGAAGGCTTTGGGACGGGGTGGGGATGTTTCCTTGCCTCGCCTAGCTTCTGAAGGCCACCATTTTCAGTGGTTTCAGATGCCTTTCTTCATCCTCGGCACCAAAGGGGCAGCAGCTTCTCTACTCACATGGCCCTGCTAGCATGTTCTAGCTAAAACCTGACATCACTGATTAGATCAGGCTCATCTCTATCTTCCAGAATAATCTCCCCATCTCAGAGACCTTAACTCAGTCACAGTCAGCAGAGTCCCTTTCACCATAGAAAATATTCACAGTCTCTGTGAGTTAGGACATGAACATCTGGGGAAGCCGTTTCTCAGCCTACTACAGCAGCAATATATTTTCTATTGTATCATCTTGATGAGTATTTTGGTAGTTTCCAATTTTATCAAATTACAACAATTCTGCTGTGACCATTATTTTGCACATCTTTAGTTTCACCGATGGGTATATAGCATATAATTGCTGGGCTATAGGATATTAGACACTCGGCCTTACAACATTCTGCAAATGAGTTTCCAACTAACAAAGGTGTGAGTTAACAGTTGTTCTGCATCCTTGCCAATGCTTAACATTGTCTCCATTCCTCTTTTCTTTCCTTTCTTCCATCCTTCCTCTTTTTTGTAGGAACTGATATATTCTGTTTATGGATCTGTGCCTCTTTTGTGATATAATAAAATCTCTTGTCCTCCAAAGCTGAAGATTCCTCGGGCAGTTCCTGTTCTCAAAATGGATGCATCATCCTCAAATACCACTCCATCCCAATATGACAGCCACTCAAAGAAAAGTTATGATTCCCAGCCAACCATCAACATGCGCTATATTCCAAGGGAAGACTGCCCTGACTGGTGGCAAGTAAGAAAACTGAAAAGGTAAAGCTAAGCACTTAGGCTGGCTGCCCAGAGTATAGAATAGACATTGCCCCATAGCCCAGAACCGCAGTCTCAAAGCTGGTAGCACAGGCCTTAGCTTTACTAGGGTGGTCTTCTTCAAAAATATCCAGTACTTGAACTAGAAGAGTGGGGAAGCTGAGGGATAGAGAGATGATCTGGGGCTTAAAAGCACGGGCTGCTCTTCCAGAGGTCCTGACTTCAATTCCCAACAACCAAGCAACCACATGGTGGCTCGAGACCATCTATAATGGGATCTATTGCCTTCTTCTGCCTTCTTTATGCATGCAGATGGAGAACTCATATAATAAATAAATAAATAAAATCTTTAAAAAAAAGAGTGGGGAAGCAAGTGGCCACTCTGGACCTGAGAGTATATATTTCAATTATCTTACCTAATGTTCCTTGTGATAGCTTCAGCACTTTAGTCCTTCTCCTCCTTGCTCCCAATTTCCCCAAATAACTGTACAATCCTAAACACAGAATCTGTAAAACGTGTCTTTTCTATAAAAGAGTGCGTTTCAGGTGGATTTACTTAGTCCCTTCAAGTTTTCAAACCAATGATGCTATCCAAACTTAGAATTGAAAGCACATTGAAGGTGATACATAACGTGAATACATAACGTACCATGTTTGCTGCTCAATAAATGTTTAACTGAACAGTAACGGGATCATGTAGGAAGGGTCAAGTGTTATTCCTTCCTTCTTTGCTGCATCGGACCTCAGCCCCAACCACAGGGACCACTGCCTATCATTCTCACAGAGTCGTCAGCTTCCCTGCAGTGTGCTGCTGATGTCTGTCTCTACACAGAGTAAATGTAGAGCATTTCTCTGACTCATTGTTTACTCCTCTTTTGCTCTTATTCCTTGACTCTTCTCAACCTCATTATTTTTACTTAAAGCAAATGCCTCACTGTACCAATGATGCAGCCACAGGGTCATGTGGAGCCTGAAAGAATGTAAGTATTTTTCCATTGGATTTAAATGTCTTTAAATATAATAAATCACCGTCCTTTTTACTCTAGGACACAACTAGTTCCCAAGTGTGGTGTCTATACCTGATTGTTGAGGAAAGGGTTGCATTTGTTTGTCTGCTGCCCAGTGCTCTTATAGGTCTGGGCTGTTGAGATGGCTCAGTATCATCTGTTCAATCAGGTCACCTATGGTGCTCCAAGTTCAATCCCAGATCTCACATGGTAGAAGTAGAGAAATGGCTCCTTCAAGTTGTTGCAAGCTGTACACACGCACACACACACACACACACACACACACACACACACACACACGATTGAAAGCAAAAAACAGGGCTAAATAAATTGCTTTGCTTTTTTCAATGAGCGTTTCTTATGGGAGGAGGAAGGCAAAAGGCTCTCAGGGGCAAAGCTGGTTGAGCAAGTGGGGAGGAGGCATTTTAGAATTTGAGGGCATTTAGAATTCTCTAGGCATTTCTTGAAACAAAGCCAGGGCAGTGTTTCCTTGCCAAAGCAGCTTGTCCCTGTGAATTGTAGTTTAGAAAAAAAGGCTGGGTTGTGAAGGCAAACAGGAAATGGGTTCTAAATTCCAGACAAAGCAACCCTTGGACTTTAGGAGGAGGTAGCCACTTCCTCGTGCTTTTAACACCCAGAGCAAAAGAGATAAAATGATGGGTGGCAAAGGACTATGCAAATCTTGCTGCTCCATCTGTGTCCAGATGAGTCAAAAGTTCAAGATTTTTAGCTGTAATCACACCAACAGAGAGGAAAGTAACATACTTAAAAATACGTAAAGGACAGAATGTTTGTGTACGCCCAAGAAAAGCAGAGCAAAGCTAGCCAGGTTGTCTCCTGACTCGGCTTTCCTGCTGTGTGGGGACATGAAGATCGTTATTAGCAGTTCTCATTTGTTCAAGAATATTGCCTCTCTAAAAGGAGCATAATGTCAAATGAAGTCAAATAGTTAAGATCTATCTGAAACAAAACAGTCTGCCACTTAACATTCAACAATCACACATTTATAAATGCACTGCCAATAAAAAAAGAAATCACAACTGTCACCTCAAAAGAGAAAAGAGATTATTTTGGAGCCATATATGAGTGTCCATGGCCCAGGAGCACAAATTGAGGTCACTTCAAATTCCATGTTCTAATGACATACACTTTCATGAGGGTTTTTTTTGGGGGGGTGTATTGTTTTGTTTTGTTTTTTCAAGACAGGGAAACAGTCCTGGTTGCCCTGGAACTCATTCTGCATACCAGGCTGGTTTTGAACTCACGGAGATCAGCCTGCCTCTGCTTCCCACAAGCTGGGATTAAAAGCATGCACCATTACACCTGGATCATAATAATTTTTAGAAACAGAACAAAGAAAGTCATAAAGCAACACATTTTTCAAATACACAGGTGGAAACATCATAGAGCAGGGACTATAGCAAAGGCTGAGCAACTGTAGTTCTGATAGTAGGTGCCCTCAGCTGCTGTCACTAAGACCACCACCTGTGCCTATTCACTATGTTCCCTTTTAAAAGGGCCCTGCCCACCTCCCATCCCTCTCTCTCTCTCTCTCTGTCTCTCTCTCTCTCTCCCTCCCCTCTCTCTCTGCCCCTCTTTCCTTTCTCCTGCTGCTCCTGTCCCCAGAGGCTGGTCTCCCCCCTCCACTTTTCCTTTTTACAATACTTTTCCCTTAACAAAAAAAAAGAAAGAAAGAAAGAAAGAAAGAAAGAAAGAAAGAAAGAAAAACCCTCCGCTTGAATTCTGTTGCATATGGTGTCTTTCTCTCTCGAGCCGCTTTTTAAAAATTACAATAACCACAGTTTAAAGCCAAATTTGTAGCAAGCTTTAATTAAATATTGGTCAGGTTGATGGACTCTCTGAGTTCCCAGAAAATGGCCATGAATCATGCCTTGTAGGGGCTTAAAAAGGCAAATCCACCAGGCCACTGTATTTCCCGTCAGGTCCAATCAGGGAAAAGCATATATCCTGATATATTTCCTGCCTACTCCCTTCCCCACCTCCCAACTTCCACCTACATCCAATCAGGAGCAAGCATACATTCTGATGTATTTCCTGCCCACATAATTCCTGCCCACATGTGACCAAGCACATCCAGTGCAGGTGTGTATGTGTCAAACCAACTTATTTAGAGGAGTGAAAACATAAAAAGCCTCCAGCATTTAACTCTGACAGTTTAGCTTTGGGGTTTATGGAAGCTAGTGGTCCTTGGGTCTCAAAGAAACCCAGGACAAATGGCTAACTGGGTGCCTATTAACATATCAAAGCAGACAGCCGCTGCTGGCTAGCTCTCCCAGCATCACTCAGTAACTGTGGCTCCTCCCAACACTTCTTACCCTGGCCCTCAACCCTGAATCTCTCCCCCCCAGGGGGAAGCTTCTGCCTCCCTTCCCTCAGCTTCTCTTTCCTATATAATGCAGCCCACGGTCATTTGGGGTACCCCACTCTTGGTTGGCTGCTTATCTCTTGCTCTCCCTCTCCCTCGCTCCTCTTATATTCCAGTTTATTCTGCCACCATGTTCAGCCTGGACTTTCCCCTCTGCCTGCTTTCTCCCTTCTGTCTACAATAAAAATTTTCTCCATATTTTAGGAGTAGTCATGTCCTCCTCCTTTTATTTCATTTTCAGTGGTCTGTTAAGCAAATACATTGCAAAAGGTTTGACTGGCAGTCACAAGGATGTTAGGTCATACACAGAGGTGGACAAAGAATTACTAACACTTTAAGAGAGCTAAAGAGAACCTGAGATAGATAAATCAAAATTAGGTTCTGGATCTGCAACATTCCAACTTCTCCACAATTACTCATGTTCTAATCTGGTAATGAGCCGTGCAGAAGGGTCAGTAGAAGATATGGCTGCTTACCAGGAACTTTCATGTTCACCATACATATTAACCATATATCTTTATTTGCAGTGAGGAAGATGTTGCCAGCAATAACCAAGTGGAAAGAAATATTGTATATCACAACACCTCAAAGATGTCATGGTAAATCCAGTCTAGATGCTACTTTATACTCAAAATTTACTCGTGTTTGCAGGAATACTAACCAATTTGAAATAAGTTTGCAATAAGACTTTACATGCAAGGAAAATATAATCCAAAAAAATGACCATGTAGTTTGCCTCTGAACACATGGGTGGGTCTCATTGAGGGTTTGTTGGTTAAAGTTTTCCTCACATTGATTATTTCTACCCATCACTCATTAGGTACTCTGGTATTATGATACACTGGCTCAGGCATCTCTAATAAGAGAAAAAGCAATGCAGAATAAATAAGTCTTCCCTAATAATAGCTTAATGCATATCACCAACATTTAAAAAATATTATTCCATTTTACTTTTTATTTACTTTATGTGTAAGAGTGTTTGGGCTGCATACAAGGGCACCATTTAGATGTAGTGTCCACAAAAATCAGAAGAGAGCATAAGATGCCTTAGGATTGGAGTTATAGATGATTGTGAGCTATGTGGGTGCTGAAAACTGAACCAAAGCCTTCTGCAAGAGCAGGAAGTGCTCTTAACCATTGAGCCATCTCTCCAGGCATAGCAGCACTTTTTAAACTTTATACTGTAGCCATTTTTGAAGGAATCTTCATGTGTTTCATAAGGTTGCTCTTCTGAAAGAATCTAAACAACCTGACTGAGTTCCTAGAAGCTTTTTGTTAAACAGCCAGTCTCTTGCACTAGGCATAAACTCAGCTTGTGAGTGATTTATTCGCCTTTTCAGTTTGCTGATATTCCAGGTGCAAAGAGGAAATTTAGCAGAAACTTAATTTTGTATATGTGAATAAAATAATAAGTAAGGGTTTTGCTATTGCTGTACTAGGCACTTCGATTGTTTCTCGGTTGACTTGTTTATTTGGCATTCATGTTGTTTCTGGACTCTTCTTAAGGGGATTTCCTGAGTCAAGTTCATCTGAAGAAGAGGAAAATCTGGATGATTACGAGTGAGTGTTGAAAGTCTTATTTCTTATAAAAGTAGAATTAGATGTATTTATTTGATTCCTTGGAGGCATTAAAACATATTGCTCAGACTTTCTTAGCAGGCTATACTCACATGTGTAAATTCATGCGAGTCTCTGAGCCATTTTCCTAAATGGAAAGTGGCAATGAACTTGGTTATCAATTATCAATGAAGATATTTTCCCCAGTCTGGACCATCTAAATTGGCTGCATATATTCATTGGATTTATCACATGCTCATTGTTTTTGTTTCATAAATGAAGAACATAATGTTTCTGCTCATTATTTATTTGTTGGAGCCCTCTAATCATGGTAATGTTTGAAAGCTCTTACTAAGACATTTGATATGATGCACTAATGGCACACAGAAGTGCATGGAACTACTCAACATAGCACCATTTATGTTTATAGCAATGGCCTTGTTATTTGGCATCCAAGTTGAGATCCCTGACAGAGAGACATATCCAATAGACATATGGCATAAATTGATCTGTTCTGAGAGAATAAGAATGAGTGGTCACCCTAATTGTGTCCTTGGGTCAACCTAAGGGACATTAAGGTTCTTTCCAAAACTCAGGGTTTACTGTCATTCTATAAATTTTGACATTATTGTCTCCTAGACTTAAAGATTTGTGTTAAAGAAAGATGAGAATAATATAGAATATTGTACTTTGCAGACACTCAGTAGTCAAAGAACTTGAGAAAGTTTAGAATTCATCTGAACACTAGGATTCTGCATACTTATGTTCTCTTTTGAGTGAGTGCTGTTAGTGATTTATTAGTTACATGTCAGTGGGAGGTTTTACAATGAACCTATATGTTTCCTCTTCTCCTTTAACCTATAATCTACCCTAGTTCTAAGCATATCTGTCACATTAGGGAAGATGTAGTATATCCTCCATTCTTCTGTGATACTATTTTCCACATTCTAGTCTTCTGTTAATAGTTAATTTTAGCTATCAACTTGATGGAAACTAAGAGTCCACTGGAAGAGAGAATGTCAATTGAAGAATTGCCACCATCAGAGTGGCCTGTCGGCATGTCTGTGGGGAATTTTCTTAATTGATGATTGATAAGTAGGAAGGTCCATTCCAGCCCACTGTGGACAGTGTCACCCGTGGACAAGTGGTTCTGAATGCTGTAAGAAAGCAGAAAGCCATGGAAAGCAAGCCAGTAAGCAGCGTTTCTCTGTGATTTCTGCTTCAATTCCCATCTCCAAGAGGAGAGCAAATATTTAAATTGTCAAGGCTTAAGCTTTCACACTTATGTAAATTGAAGCTCTACAACATGTCTCTACTAGATTAAAATAATGTGAGAGATTTGCACATTGTGGAAATTACCATAAAAATCCCATCTTCTACAAAAAAACAAAGATCTCTAAAAAGGAACTCAAGACTTACAGAGCTATAAAACCCCACATCTTACTTGACACCCCCTACTTCTTTACTGTCACTGGATCATTTGTCTTGCAGTCATAATGTTTTGAGCAATTCTACTTCGTTCAAATAAAGATGGAAGCGCTGGGATTTAGATGGAAAATCACGTTATGACTAGAGCTTGGCCCCTGCTCTTTTGATATGGAATATGAAATTTAAAAAAAATAAGCAGAGCCAGGGTTCAGAAAAATAATGATATATACCTATTCATGGGAAGGTTTAGGAAGATGTGTTTCCTAGTTTGCTTTCTGTTGTTGTGATGAAACATTGACCAAAAGCAACTTTAGGGAGGAAGGGATTTAGTTGGCTTATGCCTACAGGTAACATTCTGTCATTGCAAGAAATCAGGGCAGGAATTTGAAGACAGAACTGCCGCCCAACCAGGACTGGAGAAATAGCTCAGAGGTTAAGAACACTGGCTGCTCTTCCAGAGGATCTGGGTTCAATTCCCAAAAACCACACAGTGGCTGACAAATCTCTACAATGAGGTCTGGTGCGATACTTATATGTTGAGAAATAATGGTAGGAAAAGATTTAATCTTTGTTTTCAGTAATTAAACCATTGTTTCCATGAGAACAGAAAGCATTGTATGTGTAGTACAAATACTGTGATTCATAAAACACAGTGGCCTTGACTCTGGGCCATGCTGTTTCAGACAGCACTTATTGGCATTGTGTGTGGTGAGATTCCCATTGCAAAGTTTGCATATTGTATGTTCAGAACAATGATGCAGTGAAGTTGTGTGATGCAACACAGTTGAGCACTGCCAGAAATACCTGATTCATTGCATGTTTAATTTTAAGTTAATATTTGGTTGCTATGCTTTCAGGAACCTTTTGCTATCACCATTTTTGTGACCCCCTAATTCAGTTATTCAATCCTACATGGGGGTCCCAATCCATGTTTTAAGAAGCTGTGTCTTACATAATGTTTTCTACATGGCCTTTTGATTGGCTGTTACAACATTGAAATGTGAGTTAAAAAGAAAAATATCACTAACACCTCAAGTGTTGATTATACAGCATGTAGAGGCAAAAAAAAATGCCGCTCAAGATCAGCCATGTGGTAGCTAATCTTGATTGTCAACTTGACACACTTGGGGAGAGATAGCCTGTCTGAGAAATTGTCCTTTGGCTGGCATTTTCTTAATTGCTAATTGGGAAGGAGGGCCAGTCCATTGTGGACTGTACTTAGGCAAGTAGGCCTAAGTCATATAAGAAAGTTAGCTGAGCAAGCCAACAGAAGCTAGCCAGTAAGCAGTGCTCCCCCACTGGTTTTTGCTCCAAGCTTCTGCCTGAGTTCCTGCATTGGTTTCCCTCAATGATGGACCAAAGCTGAAATAAACCATTTCCTCCCCACCTTGCTCTTGGCCATCATGTTTCTCACAGGAAATCAGGATAACCTCCATCTTAATTTTACAGATGGAAAAGTCTATGGTCAAAAAGGCTAAGAGACTTGTTAATAGTCAACTACACATGATCTAGTTCTTTCTAGAACTCAGATCTCCAAACTGTCTGGTCTAAGAATCTTTCCACTTTATTGAACTGTGCAGCTGCTGTTATCCCTCCCTCCATAAGTACAGATACCATACAAAATACCAGTTCTCACTCATTGGGAAGACATCTTCCATATTGCTTTTCTCCCACCAGCCTTCACTCTTCTGTACTTGTTTCTTCTACAGGTGTTATCTTCAGTCAGTTCCTCCTGATACCCCAAACCCATGCCCCATTGTACCCCATACCCTACTTATTCCCATATGTGACATTTTAGCCCAAGCCAGAAGGCCACAGACATAAGCTAACCTCACATGAGACCCAATTTTTTATTGAGCTTCACATACAAAGCAAGACATGATGTTCTTGGCTCGTTAGTTAAAAGAGCAAAGGTTATTTTTTTTTAAGAAAAGGAATTCTAATTGGCTTTCCCACATTACTTTGCATCCTGTCTGGATATCATCTTAGATGTTTATCTCTTCCTGCTCTGAAGAAAAAATTAAAGCATTTACTTTGAAAATAGTTGATATAAAATGTGCTTCTATCGGGTTATTAAAATAAAATGTGATGGGGTGGAAAGACAAGAGTGTTTATGCTAAGCTACCCTGACTTTCTCATTGGATCGTTATTGGTCTAATCTCTGGTCCTCATTCAAAATGGTGAAATGTAGGCTAACTTAGAAGTCACCTAAAAGGACTCTAGCAGCCTGTTCACAGCTTGATATTATACAGGCCTCATCCCAGAAGTAGATTGGGTGATGGAGACTAAGAAGCTGGGTTTTGAAAATATCCTCAGGTAATGCTGTCAAATAATTAGGTTTGAAAATTCATGATATAAGCCAATTCCTCAATTTGCAGACTAAAAAGTTGAGAGGTGGATTATGTAAGTGAAAAGTTATCAATTCTCAAATCCAGAATTCTTTTGCAGCTGGTTTGCTGGGAATATCTCCAGGTCACAATCTGAGCAGTTACTGAGACAAAAGGTAACTCTCTCTCTCTCTCTCTCGTGTGTGTGTGTGTGTGTGTGTGTGTGTGTGTGTGTTAGTTTGTTAAATGTGCATTCCTACTACTAGGCTACATCTTCAGCCCAAGAATACCTACCTGTCTCTGCTGTTTCTGGCTGGGCCCAGTGGTGAATGTATTCTCTGAGAAACATTATAGCTAATGTTTCAACTCTCCATGACATTGCCTGTCCATCCTTTGAGTTACTAGGGTCTCCTTTTGCCTTATCTATTGCTATAAATTAAACCACCTCAAGCTATAGGTGACACTCCAGTTACTGAGTGGCTTGCTGTCCTTTTGTCATGTACTCAATAACCTTTTCTTTAAAAATAAACCACTGCAAAACTCAGTGGCTTGAAACAAGATTTTGGATTTCTCACAATTCTGTGTAGCAGCTGATCCAGTTCCATGTTTTGCTGATGGATGGTTGAAGGTGGGTAGCTGAGACTCTCAACTTGGGTGCCACAGTCCTTCCTTATATAGCCTCTCAAGTGTCTGGTCTGGGCCATTCTCACAGAATAGAAAACCTTCCAAGAAGGGACTCTCTGCTTTAACAGCATTGACTAGTGTCCCATTGGCTACAGCAAGTCACATGACCCATCCCAAAGTCAAGGTGTGAGGAGACATCATAGAATCACCAATAGGAAAGATGATTCCATTTTTCAGGACTGGAGATGGAACCCAAATGCTAGCACATACTAGGCATGCTGTCTTAGTTACTTTCTGTTGCTGTAAAGGGACACCATGTCCAAGGCAACCAATATGAAAAAGAGTTTATTGGGATTTTGCTTACTGTTTCAGAGGGTTAATCCATGACCATCTTGGTGGAGAACATGGCAGCAGGCAAGCATGATGCTGGAGCAGTAGCCGAGAGCTTACATGTTAAGGAAGCAACCAGGAGACAGAGAGCCAACTGGAATGGTGTGGACTTTTGAAACCCAAATCCCCCACCTCCAGTAACATACCTCCTCCAAAAAGGCCATATCTCCTAATCCTTCCCAAACAGTTCCACCAACTGGGGACTAATAATTCAAATATGAGCCTATGGGGGTCATTCTCATTCAAAACAACACACATGCTCTCTACTACTGAGCTATATACCCTAAGCCCAAGAAAAATGACTTAATGTGAATTATCAATGTAATTATTTTCCTCAGCTGTTTTTCACTGTACATTAGTACCAAAACCACAGCACAGCAGATGTTATATGGAATTAATTTATTTGATTTTATTGCTAATTGGTATGAACTTGCCTGTAGTAAATTCTTTTGATCTATGAAATTGATATTTTGGTACAATTCAGTCTAATAAAACACTAAATACACAAATTACATTTTGAGATGTGCTGGATAGAATGTGATAGGTTACATGGCAAGTTATTATGTTTATAATTTATCATGTTTTTTAGGAACCTGGTATTGGTTAAAATTGGAATAAACCCTTTCAAAAGACAAATAAAGGGTATAACTTTAGTAAAGAATTTATTGTTCATTGCTAATTTTCTCAGACATTTCCAGAATTTGATTATAGTGGTGTATGCATGCATGTGGGCGCACACGCCTAAATTTTATTTCTCAAACAGGGAAACATTAAGCTTCCATAAGTAGAAAATAAAACAAAAATATTAGAGAGTTGCCAATTATCTAGAGAAGAGATAATTCGCCTAGGATGGGTCTATAAAGATACAGACTTGGCTGAGGATAAAACTCAATGGTAGAACACTTGCTTAGCAAAGGTAGGGCCCTGGGTTCCATCCCCAGTACCAAAAAAGAAAAATGGAAGAAGGAAAGAAGGGATGTGAAGGGAGGAGGAATAGGGGAAGAGAATTGAGTGAAAAAGAAAGAAAGCTAAACTGAAGGACAATCCTTCTGTGCAACTGTTGGGTAACCTGTCCCTTTGGTGGCATTTAAAATGGATCTAAAATTATTTTTTACTTACTGCCTACATAAAAATCATTTTCAAAGTAATGAAAATCATTTCTCATTTTCAGGGAAAAGAAGGAGCATTTATGGTTAGAAATTCCAGCCAGATAGGCATGTACACGGTGTCCTTATTTAGTAAGGCTGTGAAGTAAGTACAATGTAGATTCATGTCTTTTATCCTCTTATGACTGTTTGAAAACAATGACCACTTAGTCATAGTTTGAGATGTGACACCACTCTTGAACTCTGGAGTTTGAGATCAAGGTATTTGTGTTGAATTTAACCATTAGCCATTGCCTTCTTACCCTCTACTTTCAAAAGTGTGTGCTCTGAGTGACCCTCTCCTGCCCACTCCAGATGATGGCAGAGTGCTGTGAACACAACACACCCCCCCATAAACGTTTGCTGAAACAGCAGCATGAGCCTCTTGGAGTTAGGCTTGAGCAGAAAGAACAATAGAAAATAGCAATAGCACTTCTAAATAAAAGATAAACCTGCCTGCTGAGCTGAGAAGCTTGTCCCAGTGCCCGGTTCTCAGTGAGCCTTTCCTAGGCCGTTGAACCAAGGGAGCTGTGTTATGAGTAGCTTCTGCCTGTCTGCTGCCCTTGGCAGGAAAGAGTTCTAGCTCAAAGTCAACAGCTCTTCCCAGTTCAGGCCTTTACTATATTGAGCAAATTTCTTAACTGCTCTGGACCTGAACTTCCTCATTTGAAAGGGATTCATAATAATGATCTTTAATGCATTCAAAGCAACAAGATGTTGTTAAATAAAACAGCAATGGTTACTGAAAATTAGGCCTGTGACCAATTACACATGATTAAAATTACTTCCCACATTCACATCTGTAGTCCTTGTCGAAAGATTGTGTGTCCATCAAACAGGAAGCCACAGTGTTTAAAATCACCAACCTAACCATGACTTTGAATTGGCCAAATGTAAACTAAAAGCCTTCATTAAAGGGGTACAATTTTGTATAGCTTAGTATCTGTAGTTTAATGAATTTGGATTGCTGTGCAAAGGCTGGCATTATAATTACTAGCTACTTGAATGTCTTTTTAATGTCTTTTATGTAATGTTTTAACAGTGCTAATAAAAATATGGGTTTACCTTTTTTAAGAATGATTTTTTATGTTCTAGGAAATAATTTAATACACGTATTAGATTAGGCTACTGTCTAACACATAGTGACACCTAACTAAGGAACAGTCACTGTTCATGGTGTTGCTGAAAGAGTAGTCCGTCCTACTCTTGCATGCCTGACACTTAGGTGTGTAAGGGTTTTGAGAGTCATCTGTCAAAGTCATCATCATCAGAAGCCCCTCCAGAAGATGGTTTTCTTGAGACAGAGACTCACTATGTAGCCTCCAACTCTTAACTCTCCCACCTTTGTCTCCTCAGGGCTGGGATTACAGGCATATACCTTCCAGAGTTTTATAAATCACTTTCCTGGGGGCTAGTACCTCTTTTATTCCTTGTAAAGTCCCTCCAGAGTAAATAGGAATACTGTTCTTATTTCTCCCCTTTACAGGTGAGGAGACTGGGTTTCAAAGGGAGCTTAAAGACCAGTCTGTGAAACTGAATAAGTGACTAACCCAAAGTTAGGCTGCCAACAAGCAAATTAGCAAGCCATATTTATTTATAATATGCCCGTGAAACCCTCAGTGCTTGGGAGCTGGGGGGTCAGACCAATGCTTAATTGATTTGGACCATTTGAAAGAAATATTTCTTAATAGCTGGATTGAATGACTTGTGGAGATGTGTGTCCCATCCCACAGGGCATGCATATGTATTAGTAATAATTAAATGATGAAGGTATTTTATTTTGATATTTGTTTTACAGAGTGCCTACTTCCAACTTGAAATAATAGGGTATATCTTGAATGGCCATACAGCATTTGCCAATCCCGGAATCCATGTATCTAATAAGCACGTGCACATATACTAGATTTTACATGGGCACTGGCTAGAGAACAGTCTGTTCACTGAGTGTCAAAACAGCTGTGGCCCTCTGGATAGAGCCAAATGCAATGTCAGATGTCTTCCTTTTTGAGCTTCATCATCCCACATTCATTTTTGAAGTTGATCCAGTAGAAAATTGTAAAATAGATAAGGAATTAAATGAAAGCAATAGCCTTTTTTAAAAAAATTGAGGTAATAATTTAATAACATTTCTCCCTTGGTCCCTGATCTCCTTCAAATTCATAACCTCTTTTTCATCAATTGTTATTTCATGTATATACTTATATATTCAAAAATAGAACAAGTTGAGTCCATATGATGCTACTTGCATGTGTGTTTCCAGGGAGGACAATTTGTCACTGGAAAACCAATCATTGTGCTCTTCCCTGAAGACCTCCTCTCCTGCTCCTAGCTCTCCTCAGTTGCCTGGAGTTCTTTGTATAGGATTGAGGGTTCATGGCCTTTTTCCCATCCAGTTTGACATGTTCACTGGTGTCATTCTTGTTCAGCTCATGTTTGGACAGTCATGTTTGTGAGACTTTATGGGTGTAGCTCCCGGCTTTCCTAGTAGACACAATCTCACAGCAAACTCCCTGATCTTCTGGCTCTTACAATCTTTCAAATGCCCTCTTCCACAGTGTTCCCTCATCCTTACCTTAGGTACAGTAGTTTTTGTAGGTATATGCATTTGGACTGGGAAAGCAAAACTCTTTTATGAAATGCCATTGGCTTATACGGACACCGAAAGCAGATCAGCCATTCGCAACACACACACACACACACACACACACACACACACACACACCAGAATCTCAGCTTATCTTTATAAATACTAGAGGAGGTAGCAAGTGAGTGTTAGAACTGGACTCTAAAACCCAAGACAGGCATATTATTCCTGATTGGCCTTCATTGTTATACATGAACTCATCCCAGTATTCTTGAACTGGAGGAAAAGAACATGTTTTATGTGGAAACTATGTGTGATGTAGTTATTGGATCATAGCATGGCCTGGCACATAGCAAACAGCTGATAAACTGATGACAACAATAGTATTGTTGCTGCTGGGAAAGAGGTGAGGAATTTAAGTATATCCCTGTGTTTTTCTTCCTGCATGCCCACTCCCAACGAACTCTAGGGTGAATATACACATAACCTAATCACCTTTGTCCACACAGTTTTCTTCCCATTATCTTAAAAGAGAATTTATCTTCTCACATGATCCTAATGAACATCAAGGCTCTTAGCCATCAAGAACAGATTCTGTAGATTCTACTTTTATACTTGCTAAGGAAGGAACAGTACAATAAATTGTTTTCCAATAATAATAATAATAACAATTTATGTGATAATAAGTATGATTATTATACTGTCCTGGTGGATGCTCATGTGTGGAAGTTAGAGGAAAATTCGTGAAAGTCAGTTCTCTCTTTCTACCATGTAGAATTGAACTCAGTTGTCCTGGTTGGCTGCAGGTACCTTTATTGGCTGAATCATGTTCCTAGCACCTAAAATTGAAATTTTATTGAGCATGAGTTTTGTGTATGCAGAAAGGACATGCTGAATTCAGATAAGATCCTTCTTTCATCATTACCGATTGTCATGGATGCTTGTAGAGAAACACCAGATGTCAAGTCTGAGTAATTGCCCATCTTCTTACTCCAACATTTGCAAATAGATTCAAAATAATTATTCACTGATTATTTCATCAAATTTATTGTTTAAAGCACTCTAACATTGTCTTTCTTCCTTACTAGTGATAAAAAAGGAACTGTCAAACATTACCACGTGCATACTAATGCTGAAAATAAATTGTACCTGGCCGAAAACTACTGCTTTGATTCCATTCCAAAGCTCATTCACTATCACCAACACAATTCAGCAGGTAACGTATTTAAGGTTTTTCTTTATGGGCCCTCACATATAAATGTCAATTTTCTTGGATACCACTGATCCTCTTAATATTCTTGATTAATGGGATACCAAGAAATGAGAGAGAAATGCTATCAGTCTCTGTCTGTTATGATTTGTAGCACATACCTCCTCAAATATAACTCAGTACACTCCATAAAATAACAAAAGAAATAAAGTTAAATAAGTTGAGTGACTTAAAAGAAAATTTCCTTGTTTACCTTTATCTATTTTTAATTATGTGTGTATTATGCATATGAATACAGTGACCACCGAGGCCAGAAGAGGGCATCAGATCCCCTAGAGCTGCAGTTACTGATGGTTGCGAAACACCCTGATGTGGATGTTGGGAATCAAACTCAGGTCCTCTGAAAGAGCAGTACAATGCTCTTAACCACTGAAGCATCTCTCCAGCTCCAAAAGGAAAATTGTTCTAATGAAACTTTATTTCTAGGTTTTTCCTTGCCCATAAAAGCAAGCTGATTATAAAATATTAGAGAAATGTGCATCATTGGATGGGTAACCTCTCAGTACAGAGTAGTGTCAATGATGTTTTATAAGGATATTCATATTTGTTATATAAGAATTACGTATTCATAAAATTATACTCTCTAAAGATAAGATCATTATCCACATACTGTTCAATTTGTTTTCCTTACTAACCCTGAGGACTTTCCATGCAAATATTCATGGCTTACCTTGATCTCTTTCACAGCTATGTAGGATTCTATTAAATTTTGCAGTAGCCCTCTGGTGATTAGCAGTGGATAATGTGTGATATTTTTACACTTTAATGGATATTTTATTGTGTAACACTGCACACATAGCTCTGTACATTCACTCGAATGATTCTATTGGTAGTTTCTAAGACAAAGACTATGAAATTGTCAAATGGTTTGCAGAAGGGCACAATCCTACTAGTAACATTTTTCATATTCAACAACACAAGATACTGTTTTTCTCTTAAAATTTTGCCTAAGTAATGAGTATCTCTATTTTTTGTAATAGTACCTCTGTGAGGGGCAATTATAGTATATGTTGTATACATGTATGTGTGTGCATACATGTGTGTGTATATACATATGTGCATATGAATGTAAAAGTATGAAGTATGTGGTAGTTTGAATAAGAATGGCCCCCACAGGCTCATATATTTGAATGCTTCCTCACAGGGAATGGCACTATTTGAAAGAATTAGAAGGAGTAGGAGGTGTGGCCTTTTTGGAGTAGGTGCAGCCTGTCTGCCTGCATGTCATCATGCTCCTCACCATAATAACAATAGACTAAAACTCTGAAATGGCAAGCAAGCCACCAATTCAATGTTTTCTTTTATAAGAGCTACCTTAGTCATGGTGTATCTTCACAGTAATAGAACGCTGACTAAGACAGGTCAATATTGTGTACCTTCCTCAGTTACTCTCCACCTAATTTTTTGAGGTAGGATCTCTCACTGAATCTGGAGCTCACTGATTAGCTAGACTGGCTGGCCACCAATCTCCAGGCATATGTCTGCCTTTGCCTTCTCAGTGCTAGAATTAGAGATGTGTACCATGGTGCCAGATTTTTACATGGATACTAGGGATCTGAACTCAGGTCCTTATGCTTGTAAGGCAAGTGCTTTACTAACAGAGGCATCTCCCATGTCTGGCAGTGACTTGGTGAATTTCGAACAGTGAGTGAAAATCAACCATGGGCTTGGCATCTAAGCACTGCTACCACTTTATCACAATTCCTTTTAGTTCTTGTTTGTATTTTTCTTTTTCTCAAATTTCTTCAATTGTTTATCTTAACCAACAGCAACTTGTGGCCAAGTTATTCTACAAACAGCTATCTCTAAATGAATGATTGAACCTTAGAGGATACACAGGATATAAAAAAGATATTAAAATGTTGATTTAGCATTGTGTTTTCTACATATCATTTCATTAAATCTTCAGTTTGTTACTGTATTTTATGGTTACACAATGGTTATTACAGCAGTAACTGTACATATACATATTTCAAAATAAGGTGTTAATTTCTAATATATTTATTTTTAATTAAAACATTTTGTCACAAAGACATTACATTTCTAATAGAAACCATAGAATGCCAAGTACTTTAAAATAATCATAATTTATCTTACTGAGAAGTCATATCTATATACAAACATACATATATTTCTATATGCTTTTGCAAAACAAAAACTTATGCTATGCATGCTGGCATTTATTTCTGCTGATTAAAATGATAGTATTGAAAACATTTGGTGAACACTCCTAAAAAGAAAACAAGTACCTAAATAAGAAGGAAGGGAAAACACATGTGTTATAGTTCAGATCAGGAAACCATCCTATGCTTAAATCAATAATAATTTATTCTTTTGAGTGGGTTTTTTCAAAACACAGTAAGCATAATGCTTTTAACTCAACTTCCCCGTAGCTATATGTTGATGAAAATGGCTTGAGCATTCAGAAATTTAGAAATAGATTTCATTTTGATTGTTTTATATGTAAATATATGTTTATTATTTGAGATTTTTGTGAGATTTCTGTGCTATTTATATGCACATGTAAATGTAGAACTGAAGAAAGACAGTTAAATATGAATGAGAAAAATCTGTATGTAAAATATTCCATCTAACAACTAATCCCTATGGAATTTCACAGAAAGTAACTGGCTCTATTAGATTTTGTTTTTACATCAAGTGCAAAAGCACTGAATACAAGGACTAGATGAAAATACTCAGCATTGATTCTCTTTCTGCATCACAACACCCTAAGCCCCACATTTTCAGCTTACTAGGAGAGTGTGAAGTAATTCTGTGTAACGTGCTATGATGATGATGTGACATTATACTGTTGATTTCATTGCAGGCATGATCACACGGCTCCGCCACCCAGTGTCAACCAAGGCCAACAAGGTCCCGGTGTCTGTGGCTCTGGGAAGTGGTATGGACACACCCTTCAGCTCTTAAACTCCATTTCTCATCATTTGGGTTTCAAACACATGTGATTCAAACCTAACTGACACATGATGGATGACAGGAAGCAAGTTCCTGCTCATACTGCACCCGGGAGAAATTTAGTCTAATTTATTCCATTGATTTATTCTATTCACACCTAACTCTGTAATCTCCCCAGATGTTTCCCCAACACTGTCAAGTGTTTGTTCTTACTAGATACTGCCATTAGCCTCCAGCTTCTCTTACCTGTACTTTCTTTTTAACTGCTTCTTTTTGGAGCTAGTTCTCAGCCCAGTATTTTTGGGGTAATAACATCCATTTTGATCTCAGTTTAATGTGGTTTATATGAACAAAATCTAACAATGGTTTACCAACCTAAGAGCATTAAGCACAATGACATTGACTCTCCAAGACACCCCCAGTTGACAAAAATATTTCATTTTGACTATTGTTGTCAAGAACTGAAGCTGCTTTGAGAATACCATTTTCCTGTGATTTGGTAATGATATCAGTTCACTGAGGATTTTTTAAGTTATTAACTCCAAATGCTGTCCTGTTGTTTTTTGTTTTGTGGATACAAAAAACTCATTGCAGAAGAAATTGCTTTGGGACTTGATGACACATGACTTCTAAAGTGTCTGCCTCCTTCATTAGGAATTTGGGAGCTGAAACGAGAAGATATTGCCTTGTTGAAGGAGCTGGGAAGTGGCCAGTTTGGAGTGGTCCAGCTGGGCAAGTGGAAGGGGCAGTATGATGTGGCTGTAAAGATGATCAAGGAGGGTGCCATGTCAGAAGATGAATTCTTTCAGGAGGCTCAAACCATGATGTAAGTCTCTCCTCAGGAGTGGCAATGGTGAATCTCCATAGGAGATTGGCAGTACCTGTCCCAAACATTTACAAAGCCTGGTCTATGTTGTAAACATAAATATTTAAGTGTTATAATTTGGCCCAACAAGCAGTTAAATAAAATCAATGCTATGCCCCTAATTTGACAAGTAGGCCTGCATAACACCTTGAATGGCCATGTTTCAAATCAGAATATTTCTGACTATATTGAGAAATCAGCCTCTAGCCTCTGTGCCTTTGAATTCTCTACCCTGGATCTTTCTCCTGCTCACAACATTGTCCTGTGCTACAAAGGGTCCTTGTAGTTGCATGTAGCCACAGCACTCAGTATATCTAAATTCCCTTTACATCTGCACAAACAACTATGTGGTTCACCCTTGAAGAAACAGACTCAAGTATGGTCTCCGGGAGTCCTAGAGTGAGCAAGTCCTTCATCCTTAGAAACACTTCTTTTTAACTTTTTAAATTTAAATTAGAAACAATCTTATTTTACATATCAATCCCAGTTCCCTCTCCCTCCCATTGCCCCCTCTACTCCCCATCCACTCCCCATCACTCCCCAGGGAGAGTGAGGCCTTCCATTGGGAGGGAACCATCAAAGTCTGTCACATCATTTGGGGCAGGGCCTAGGTCCTCCCCCATGTATTCAGGCTGAGAGAGTATCCCTTCATAGGGGAATGGATTCCCAAAGTCCATTCCTGCACTAGGGATAAATGCTGGTTCCACCACAAGAGGCCCCATAGACTGCCCAGCCTTCCTAACTGTCACCCAAGCTCAGGAGCCTCGGTTTGTTCCTATGCTGGTTCCCCAGCTGTCTGGCTGGGGTCCATGAGCTCCCACTTGCTCAGGTCAGCTGTTCTTAGAAACACTTCTAACCAAGTAAAACAGCATGGCTGGTCACTCTTTTAGAAAACTAACCAGGGAAGATCAAAAAGTGTTACATCAAGGTCTTGGTCAGATGGTTCACTCAATAAAGTGCTGGCCTTGCAACATGAGTTTATTCCTTTGAGCCTAAGTAAAACAGCTGTGCGCAGTGATACATGCTTGTGATCCCCGAACTGGGGATGAGTTCAGTCTCCACACAGCCTTGTCTAATGGAGGAATCTAAGGTTGCAATGAAAGACCCTGTCTCAAAAACAAGAATTGACAGCCAAGGTTGGCCTCTCTCCTCCATCACACACAAAATAGTTGAACTTTGCAGATCCCAACCAATGTCTGTTGTGGCAAAGGCCATAACCAAAAGCCATTTGGGGAAGAAAGGGTACATTTGGCTTACATACCCACATCTAGTGAAAGAACTATTCAACAGCTTACTGAGACATCTTTATAGGCAAATAAATCCGGGTCCCAGGAAAGTTACAACACTCACTTCGCCATAACTGAAGAATTGTTCAGAAGTGGAGACGCTGCATGAATGCAAGCCTTTGACCAGGACTGTCTTCATGGCTACATCACCTAGTATTAGCAAGGTCCTCCAGTACTTGCTTTAATGCTCTGCTTTCACTGTTGCAAAACAATACTTTTTGTTTGGTTTGTGTTTTTGAAACACAGTTTCACTTTGTAGCCCAGGGTGGACTGAAAGTTACTGGATAGCCCAACTTAGCCTTAAAATCACAGCAAGGTCTGGACTCATAGCGCTAAGTACAGGGAAATAAAGATGTGAGCTATCATTTGTAGCTCAAATTAAATTGTAAACAATTATTTTTCCTTATTCTCATTTTTTTTCCTGGAACCTGCAAATTATGTGGCTGATTCTGTCCTTGGTAATGAAACTGTTAAACAAAACTAAAGGAAAGCCCCTTGGTGTCTGCCTTTCATAGAACATAAAATTCTTTTGAAAAAAAATTCTTGGGTATATGGTACAGGTGGTATCTCCTGATAAAACATTAAAGTGCATTTTTTGTCACTGTAAAACTGATCCAAGCTCCGGGGAAGCCCCCCTGGAGCTTACTGGCCAGTCAGCCTAGCCTGCTTGGAAAGCTTCAGGACAGTGAATGACCCCGTCTCAAAGGAGATTGGTGGCCTTTCAGAAGATGACATCTGAGGTTGGCCTTTGGCCTCCACACATGCATTTTCTCTCTCTCTCTCTCTCTCTCTCTCTCTGTCTCTCTCTGTCTCTCTCTGTCTCTCTCTCTCTCTCTCTCTCTCTCTCTCTCTCACACACACACACACACACACACACACACACATTTCTAAAAATCAAAAAAGGAAGTGAAAGCAAAAGAAGATATAAAAAAGAGAGATTTTGTGGAGTCTCACTTCCCCAAACAGCAGCCATTTTTATGTTATGTACACCCTTCAAATTATAATACTTCTCCTACACATGACACTATCCTAATTCTCAGGAGAAAGGGCGAATGCAGCATGTCCAGACTGAGAGCACTGCTGAGTGGCTACCAGACTGACTTGCTGGTATCAGACCTGAGGCAAGAGCACTGTTTCCTTTTGTGCCTTCAAAGATTATCCTAGTCCCAAAACAAGATCCAAAGCTCCAAGTCTCTTTCTCTGTTCAGATGGAAGGCATGAGAATCTGTTTACCCTTGTGCAGGCCATCTCAAAAATGAACTTTTCAAATCTATTCTTTTTCAGGAAACTCAGCCATCCCAAGCTGGTTAAATTCTATGGAGTGTGTTCGAAGAAATACCCCATCTACATAGTAACTGAGTATATAACCAACGGTTGCTTGCTTAATTACCTGAAGAGTAATGGGAAAGGACTAGAAACCTCCCAGCTCTTAGAAATGTGCTATGATGTCTGTGAAGGCATGGCCTTCTTGGAGAGTCACCAGTTCATACATCGGGATTTGGTAAGGCAAGCCATGAAAGGTCAATGATGAATGAGAGGACAAAGCCCACAGTTCCCTCCTCCAGGGATAGGGCCACTGAGAGGGCTGACAAAGGGGGTGACTTCACTTTTACTTTGCACACTTGTGACTGGTGTGAGTGTGTATTCGTTTTGTAATCCAAAGATCACAATCTTAGAGTAAAACATTTGAAACTCGGAAAGGTCAGAGTAAAATGAGTCACAAGGATCTCCATAGCTACCTGTGTTGTGGTGTGCAGAGCAGATGGAAAGTCTTGGACCAATTTTGTTTTCCTCAAAACCATTAAACTGAAGTTGACCTTTACTCTGAAAAGAGCAGTCAATTGATAGAATAAAAATACAAAGAAAAGTTAGATGGAAATGAAAGTGCGTGTTTGGGTTGTGGTGGGAGTTCCAAGTACTGTTTGCTCTGACTTCAACTTCAGAGATTTGCTTGTGCTGAATAGCAAGCGTACTGCACACACCAGGCCAATGCATCCCATAAGTCCTGGGTGTAGCATGCACGACTCCCAAGCCTATGTGAATGCACAGAATCTAGTGGAAGGCATTTTGGCTCTCTCCTAGCTGAGCTGAGATTCTGTGTTCAAGCATATCTCCAGTAAGTTCAGATGGTTGGGTAAACAGACTTATGCAAGCATGTTTTCATTTAGAAAAATTGAAAATTGCAAGGGATTTCAAAAATCATTTCAGAACAATTGGGGTTGTGATAGGTTGTGTTAGATTTTGCTGAAAATGAAGCCAAGGAGAAGAAAATGTCTGGGTCTGATATCAGGAGATTCTTGGTTGCTTTTACTACTTGAAGATTTTGCTTTCCCTCCCAAGGCTGCTCGGAACTGTTTGGTGGACAGTGATCTCTCTGTAAAAGTCTCAGACTTTGGAATGACAAGGTAAGCCAGTAATGTCCCAAACAGCTTTTCTTTCTGATGTTACCAATTCTAGCACCAATGACCTCTAACACATAGTGGTGTACGGCATTCCCATCAGTTGTAGTCAAGACTCTGATTTCAAGTCGGGTAGCTAACTCAACTGGTAGAGTGCTTACTGTACAAGCATGAGTTTGGTCTTGGATGACCAGAGCCCACATCAAATCCAGGCCCTGTAGTGTGCACATAACCCCAGCAACTACGGGCAGAGATAGAAGGGCCAGCCAGTCTAGCCAATCAGCACGCTCCAGATTCAGTGAGAGACTATTTCAAAGAATATATTGGAGAGTGGAGAGATGGCTCAGGAGTTAAGGACACTTGCTGCTTTTCCAGAGGACTGGAGTTTGGTTCCCAGAATCCAGGTCACATGGCTGCCAACTATTTGTAACTCCAGCTCCAGGAGATCCAACACCCTCGTCTGGCCTTGTTGGACAACTGCATGAACACACACACACACACACACACACACACACACACACACACACACACACACACACACACACAAACATTTTATTTTTTGGTAATTCTGTTGGCAGATATATAGTATTCCCTAATATCAGTTACATAAAACCAATAAGCATGAATGCAGGTACCCACAGAGGCCAGAGGAGTGGGAACCTCTTGGAGTTGAAGTTATGTGGGAGTGTGAGCTACCTGATATGGATGCTGGGAATCAAACTCAAATCCTCTGGAAAAGTAGTACATGCTCTTAATAGCTGAGCCATGTCTCCAACCCAGGCCTTATTTTTGAGTATAGTCAATCAGACCCATGAACATGTTCATTTACTGGTTGCTCCCCTCAAAATAGAATTATATCAAATATACATGCTTTTACACATAACCATATACTGTGAACAGATTTTTTCTGGGTTTTCAAGATAGGGTTTCTCTTTGTATCCCTGGCTATCCTGGAACTCACTCTGTAGACCAGGCTGGCCTTGAACTTAGAGATCTACCTGCCTCTGCCTCCTGAGTGCTGCGATTAAAGGTATGTGCCACTATCTCCTGGCCTGTGAGCATATTTTTATCTGGTGAAGTATAGAACTATATCATTTTTAATGATTGCATAATATTCTATGTCTTTTTACATAGTATTTCTATGTAAAATATAATTTACATATTCTTCAATATGAGTACACTGAGGTTATTTCCATTTTATAATCACAATAAAGCATAGGTTTAGTGGACATGTTTTAATTTCTATTTTTATTGTTTTTGATTTTTCCATCAAATAGTTCCATCATTATTTGTGATAGAAAATGAAGGAGAGTTGATACAATTCAATAAATGTATTACTTCATTAGAGTGGATGCTGTTCAGTTGCCAAACATGATGCTGGAGGAGAAATCCTCTCAACTTGATGCTTAAGAAATAAAGAAAAGCTAATCTCAAAACAATAGAACCCAGTTATATTCAAATTACAAATAGAGAAAAGATACAGTCAGAAAGTACAAGGAAAATGTATCTGAAGTGATAGAATTACAAGGCATCATTGGGGTAGAATTCTGAATGATTGTATTTTCACATCTTTGCTTTTTTGTTTTTGTTTTTGTTTTTGTTTTTTTGGTTTTGATAGTTACCAAACATTTCGCACCCAAGTTCTGCTATGTTCAAAGTTACATTTCCTAATTGCTTACATTCACTAAAAGCGAATACGTCGCAATGAAAAGAAATCAAAGAACCAGATAAGTGGCATACATCTACAATCCTAGCATTTGGGAGGTAGAGGCAGAAGATCAGGAATTCATGAGACCTTGTCTCAGGAAGAGACAGAGACAGGGAAAATTTAAAACAAATTGACTAGAAAACTGAAGTATTCAGCTGACTGTGGACACTGTATGTCCTTCATCAGCCTGACTGATGGTGGGCCATGGAGGCAACAATGACCAATAGGGGTCTTCTTGTTTGTTTTAATTGTCTGTGGTGATGTTTTCCCTACAGATATGTTCTTGATGACCAGTATGTCAGTTCAGTAGGAACCAAGTTTCCAGTCAAGTGGTCGGCCCCAGAGGTGTTTCACTACTTCAAATACAGCAGCAAGTCAGACGTATGGGCATTTGGTAAGGAAGTAACTACACAGCACCGGGCCCCATTACATAAGTCAGCTTCCACAACAGGAAACCGCAAGAACAGCAACATCCATTTGAAAAAGAGCCCTGAATCTTTACAAAATTACACACACAGTATGAGACAAGCAGGTGGTTGAAGAAGCCAATTTCCTTCCATGGGTTCAGGGTTAGGAAGTCTTAGGCACTTTCATAGTTTACATCATGTTAACATCTACTCGAAGAATCAAAGGATTTAGGGGCTTTTCCGATGAAACTTTCCAACAGTTTTTGTTTTGTTGTGTTTTTAACCATGGTTTTGCTATGTAACCCAGGCTGGTCTCAAACTCATGAACCTCCTACTTCCTTGGCCTCTCAAAATCTAGGGTTACAGGTGTGCACCACTTCTTCTAGCCTCAAAGAGTTTCATGAAGACATGGCTAAAATTTAAATCTCAGTTTATCTGAACCCTCAAAAGTTGGAGGGCTTAAATATAAATCACTGTTTATGGGCATGAGTATAACTATGGGAACTGTTCTAAAGGGTCCCTTCAGAATGGGCAGAGCCTTTTGGGCATCTCTAATGTAAACAACAGACTTGACTGTGTGCTTTCCTTGGCTTTGTGTAAGTTCTCTTTGCATTACTGTAAGTAATACCTGGCAGAACCAACTTAGAAAAAGAAATCATTTATTTTGGCTCACAGTGGTGAAGGTTCCAGTTTGCAATCTGACCCACTACTTGGTGTCTGTGGTGAGGTGGACAGGGAGAGAGCACAGGATGTGGCAGGAGCAAAGCTGCTCCCCTTGTGACCAAGGAGAAGAGGAAAGACAAGAGGAGATGTTGCGGTCTCACTCTCCCCTTCAGGGCACTCTCTGCATGACTGTAAGGCCTCTCAAATTTTCCACACCTCCCAAAGGCATGAAGCTGGGAGTCAAGCCTCCAAACCACAGCAAACACCTTGTTTCAAGTCATCTCTCCCCTTGCTAAAATTAGCATTTTAGATCAGGATTTGGGAAACAACAGTCCTGGAATAAACTAGGTGCCCTGTTTCTGTAAATAAAGTTTTATTAGCCACAGGCATGCCTATTCATTTCCATGTTGTCTGTGGCTGATTTTGTGCTACAATGGAGTAGCAAATGGCACAGATACCATTTGACTCCCAGTCTAAGATACTTACCATTGCATATTTTTATAAAAGTTTGATAAACACTATTAAACACTTTAGATTAAAATTTACTGTCTCAAGCTACATGACAAGACACACCTGCAGTCTTGGACCTCAGGTGCTGAGGCAGAAGGATCAGTTCTAGGCCAGAATGAGAAACTTAACAAGACCTGTCTCAGAACAACAAAAATTGGCTAGTTGAGTTGGCAGTTTGACTCAGAAGCAAAGCCCCTGTGTTTGACCCCTAGCATGGCAAAAACAGACAAACAATCCAAAACCAAAAGAAGAGAAGTCAAATTCAGCAGAGGTGAAAAAAATTCTTAAGCTGTGATTCTATTAATTGTCAGAGTTTGGGGTTTTAAAAAATATGTTGATAGAATCATGGCTGTTTTCAACAACTGTCTGATAGGGCCAGGATATGTAAATCAAATTATCACCAAGTGACAAAATATATTACATATGACCAAGAACCATTTCATGCTTGTGCAATTTGATTTACCATTTAACACATGCTAGACAACTTGGGAGAAGGAAATTTTAGTTAACGGTTTATTTTTCTATCCCAAATAAATATTAAAAATAAACAGTCCCTTTTGAAAAGTATAAAGATGATCAGATGGGCACACAAAAAGGCAAAGTCACACAGATAGTGCTTTTATGTTAAGTTCGGCCCTTGTTGTCCAAACCAGTTTCATATCTATGCATCAACTGATAGGCCTGCTGAATATTATTCTTCAAATCTGTACCATCATTCAATAGTGACAGCTTGTTTTGAACCAAAGACAGCATTACCCAATCTGATTATCCACCTCATAAAACAATCTATTTACAGTTGTTTCCTGACTGTTGACAGACAGTAAATCTATTCTTAAATAATTTACTTTTGCTATGGATATTCAAAATGAATCAGGGCCTCTGAAAGCCCCTCTCAAAGAAGCCCATCATTTCCCCAGTTATTTTATGCAGTGCTGTCAGCCTTGGGATAGTGAGCAGCCTCCCCAAAAGAGAGTTGTGAAGCAGTCTAGCTCTTTTGTAGGCCGGTTTAAAGGAAGAGACACCACAATGTGGAAGACTGCTTTATTATATTTTACATAAAATTTGTAGCCTACAAGTGAAAATTTGGGGTTTGGCAACAATTGCCTTCTTTCTGTATATGTGGGTTGTCCAGAGTTTTGAACGTGGCTGAGTGTTTAAAGCAGTGGTTCTCAACCTGTGGGTTGTGACCCCTTGGGGTTGAATGACCCTTTCACCGGGATCACATGTCAGATATTCTGCATATCAGATGTTTACATCATGATTCATAACAGTAGCAAAATTACAGTTATGAAGTAACAAAGAAAATAATTTTATGGTTGGGGTCACCACAGCATACGGAACTGTATTAAAGGATCGAAGCGTTAAAGAGGTTGAGAACCACTGCTGTAGCATCTTTGTCCTTGGAGAGAATGGCACCATTCAGGTGGCATTTTCAATACGCTGGCACTCTTTTAAAAGCACTCTGTGTCTTATCCTACTTAATCCCCATGGCAACTCCAGAAGATACTGTTTGGTGGGAGAGCTGAGGCCAAGAATCATTAACGAATTGACCTGGCTAGCAAGTGGGAAAACTCAGCTTCCAAAGGCCACATCTGAATGATCCCAAATGTCACTCTCTTGATCATCATAAACACTCCAACTTGGTGTCTTATCCTGAAGTCAGTAATGTCTTCAATGAGCTGGAGAGCTATGAGCATTCTGAAAATGGACAGATGGGCCATGAGTTCATGTTCCCAAGCCAATAATAGCCTGTGGCTTTTATCAGATTCCCAAATGGTATCTGACTCATAAAAGATGTGATGATAGACCAATAGCAACAACAGACTGTGGAATAAGCATCCATTGTTTTATCTTTATATTTGTACCAAAAGATAGCTCAGGTATGCAATGAACTTGTGCACAACTGCAAAAGCAGAAAGAAAGAAAAGGCAAGGACCTCATCACTCATAAGTTTTGGGTAGTGGCTTTCCACCCAGTTTGTTGTCAGTGTGAGGGCTGCATGAGATCCCAAGTGCCTTTCCAAAGCATCCCATGAACCTTAGCCCCAATCAGCTCCCACTACTTTTGCCATTCTCTGGTTTTCTAACAAAGCCATGGGGGGGGGCGGTGTCTGAAGAAATACAGGAACACCTAGACTGTAGAAGTGATAACCAAAGCCCACCTTCCATGCCCTCCTTCTTTCATTAAGACTTGTTTTGCAGAAATCCCTTGCTCTAGTTCATGGCCTTCTGGTCCTGTGATGTGAAGTTCCTTCCACAAGCCCTGGGCCTTCTGACACTGGCTCTCTTTCTCTTCTGTCTGCTGGGGCTGCCCCCGGATGCATTACAGGGATCCTGATGTGGGAGGTGTTTAGTCTGGGGAAGCAGCCCTATGACCTGTATGATAACTCTGAAGTGGTTGTGAAGGTCTCCCAGGGCCACAGACTCTACCGGCCCCAGCTGGCATCAGACACCATCTACCAGATCATGTACAGCTGCTGGCATGAGGCAAGTATACCCCCTAAGCAGGCTGGAATTGGGGAGATTCACTGGGGATGAGGGAAAGTACATGCTACAGAGAAGTTGAGAATGGTCCTGGATCATGTTTCTTTGTAATGTAAAAAAATGGCAGGGGTTAATAATTTGCTGAAGAACTTACACCACTGTTGTAAGAACTTTATAAATATTAACTCATCAGAAAATACCCTATACAGCAGGTAATACTATCATCACTGAAACTGACAAGTGAGGAAATAGGAGTCCAGGGAGGTTAAGTGACTTACCTCAAGTCACACAGTTATTATAGAGGCAGGCTGGCTGGTGCCAGTGTCCTCACTTTTTTTTAACATGTGGTTGGTTTGTTTTGGTTTTTCTAGACAGGGTTTCTCTTTGTAGCCCTAGGCTATCCTGGACCTCACTCTGTAGACCAGGATATCCTCGAATTCAGGAATCTGCCTGCCTCTACCTCCCATAGTGCTGGGATTAAAGGCATACACCACCATTGCCCAGTTATCTTCTTTTATTTTGAGATTATAATATAATTACATTTCTCCCTTGCCTTTCCTCCACTGCATGTCTTCCCATATACCCCTCCCTGCTCTTCTTCAAATTCATGGCCTCTTCTTTTATTTATTGTTATTGAATGCATATATGTATATGTATATAATATATAGTCCTAAATATAACCTGTTCAGTCATGTAGTGTTACTTTATGTATGTTTTAGGAGCTGACTATTTAGCAGGGATAACCAATTGGTGAACTCTTCCCTGGGGAAGCCACCATTCCTGTTCCCAACTTTCCTTGGTTGCCTACAATTCTTTGTGTAGGGTTGAGGCCTCATTCTTACCAAAACTATAAAATCTCAACTCAAAAAATGCATGGTAGAAACATCTAAACACATACAGGCATCAAATGAAAGGCTGTTTCTCCTCCTCCTCCTCCTCCTCCTTCTCCTCCTCCTTCTTCTTCCTTCTTCATTCCCCACCCCATCCTCCAATTCCCAAAACACCAAATAACATGAAGCAGATGTGGGCCTAAAATGGAGGAAATTCCGACGCAAATTTCTTTGATGTTTATTTTAAACAACTAGTTGGTGTTGTGAAGTGTGAGGTTCCACTACTTCCTTCACTGAATCCACAATCCTGTCACACATACACACACTGAAAACACCAACCAGTTTATAATTGTGTACCCAATTAAAAAGATAGAAAGGAGCACGGAGCTCAGAGGAAGGACAGCAGCTTCCTGAATGCATTGGTGTCTGACAATCAGGAATTGTCTTCAGAGTTCCCTTGGTTTGTGAGTAGAGATGGTGCCAAAGTGTGTGCAAATGAGAACAGCACGAGCAAAGGCGTGGAAGCAGGCAGTGGCAGCGGGCAGCAGGCATGCTGTTCTCAGCTAGAGCTGTTGTTGGAACCACTGAAAATAAATTTGGAAGATTAAGTCTGGTCGAGGTTCTATACCCCGAAGACAAGGAAGGGGAGGAGGAGGGGGAGGAAGAAGAGGAGAGAGTCCAGTTTATATGCATTGTGAAGCCATTGAAAACTTTTGAGCAGTACAAAAACAAAGCTCTAGAAATATCCACTTTTATTTTATTGTGTTTCTCTCATCTAGTACAAACTACAGTCCAAATGCACAGTTTTTATAATGTTTATACGGTTGTTGGAAGCACTGTTTGCTAAAAGACCACCAAGAAATAAAGAGCCACCTTAATAGCATTGAGAGGCCACACTAATATTAATCTACATTTCCATGCAGAAAAATATTGATTTATTTAGGACTTCCTCTTCTGTGGTCTTGTCTTTCTATGCCAGCACCACACTATTTTAATTTTATGCTGATGTGCAACAAGTAAAGTATTATGCAATGTTTTAGCATTATGGAGGCTAGAACCCATAAGGCTTATTGTTCTTCATAGCTTCCTAGCCACTTTGCAAAGTCAAAAATCTCTGAAATACATTCATCTAGCTTAAAAGAAACACATTCACATCTTTAAGATTGTATTTCCTTTTTATTTTAACTGGAGACATTCTACATCTCCATGACACTGACATGTCCTACTGTAGGACAAAGGAGACTTTTTCCTAACATATGTTCCAATCTAAATGTGTATCTTTTTAACTCTTTCCTTATTTGGGGGGTCATTTTTAAAGATTTGATTTTGGTATCATTGCTATTATAAATGATGGCTTCCCTTCCATCATATTTCCTGACTGGTTACCATTGGCTATTTGATTTCATTGGTAAATTTTTTTACCCTGCCCATCTGGCAAAATCCTTCATTGTTCAGGGAGATTTTCCAGCATATAATTATGTTCTGTGCAAATAAAGATATCTTTCCTTTTCTAATTCTTGGGGCTGATTTTTGCTTTCTGGGTGCATTGATTAGTAAGAATTGTGAGTATAGAAAGCACCCTTGCCTTATTCCAAATCTCAATAGAAAGGTCTATGGTGTTTCCACATTTCAAAAGTCACTCTCAGTGAGTGTGGTACACATGCCTTGGATCCTAGCAATTATAAGGCAGAGGCAGAGTAAATCTCTATGAGTTTGAGGTCAGCCTAGTCTACAAGGCAAGTTCCAGGCCAGATAGGGCTACTCTGTGAGGCCCTCTCTCAAATGAAATAGAATGTCACTCGCATTAGGACTGAAGTATACATGCTTTATAATGTTTCTCTCTCTCTCTCTCTCTCTCTCTCTCTCTCTCTCTCTGTGTGTGTGTGTGTGTGTGTGTGTTGTGTGTACGTGTTGTGTATGTGTGTTATGTGTGTGCGCAATATGTTTGTATATGTGAGTGTGGAGCCATGGTGAGTTTGTGTCTGGTGTTAGTTCTTACCTTCCACATTGCTTGATACAGAATCTCTTGTTTGATGGTGTGTATGCCAAGCTAGTTGACCTGTGACTTTCCAGGCATTCTTCTGTCTCCACCTCCCATTTTGCCATACAAGGGTTGGGATCACGTAGACTCATGTCACACATCTGGCTTTTAAGATTGGAATTTTCAGGGCAAGTGCTGTTACCCACCGATTCATCCCTCAGCCCTACATTGTTGTTTTTCATTTTAGCTTTTGAGTCAGGGCCTTATGTATCCCACGCTGGCCTCAAACTTCCTGTATAGCTGAGGAAGACTTTGAACGTTTGATCTTCCTACCTCTTCCTCCTAAATTCGTGGTTTACAGATGTGTGCCACCATACCTAGTTAATGTGGTACAGCGAACTGAAGCCAGGGTGTCCTGAATTCTAGGCAAGCGCTTTACCAACTGAGTCACACCCCCAGCCTCGATACTGTCCTTTTGAATTATGGCTGTCATCATCTAACACATTGGGGTTTTCTTTTGTTTAGCTTCCAGAAAAACGCCCCACATTTCAGCAACTCCTATCTGCCATCGAACCACTTCGGGAACAAGACAAGCCATGAAGAAAAACTTGGAATATTGATGGGAATGAATCTAAACATTGACCAACATTCTCATTCTTTTTAAGGGAAGTGGAAAGACACAATATAATTTAGCTAGTTTTTAATAATGTCTTATATGTTGTTTACCTGTTATATTATCTATAAAACAACAAGGTAGGAAACAAGACATTTCTTTAAAATGTAGGTCAAATTGTTAACTTTGTTTGTGCTGCTTTTAGTGTACTATGGCAGAAATTCATTTTTAGATTGCAATTTATGAAGGATGTGTACTGTATGTAAAGATGGAGCAGAAATGAAAAGATGATTTGTTGAGAATTCACTTTTTTCTATTGGCACTAGTGTGATAATTAAATACTTTCCGGAAGAGAAAGGTGTGTACATTTTCCTCTGTATGAGAAATGTCTTGGTCATTTGATTACTTGGTTCCCAGTTTGTGGCATTGTTTGGGGGAAGTTTAGGAGGTGTGGCCTTAATGGAGGAATTATGTCAATGAGGGCAGGCTTTACTTGTGGTTTACTCTTTCTGCTTCTTGCTTGCAGTTCAAGATATGAACTCTCAAAAGCTGAAGAGCTGGCTCAGTGGTTAAGAGCACTGGCTGTTCTTCCAGAGGAACTGGGTTCAACTCCCAGCACCTACATGGTGGCTCACAGTGATCTGTAACTCCAGTTCTAGGGTATTTGATGCCCTCTCCTGCCCTTCACGGGCACCAGGTACACATGTGGCACAAAAACATGCATGCATGCAAAACACCTATACACATTTAAAAACAACCATCAAGGATGTGAGCTCTCAGCATCCTTCTCTACCTACCATACTCAAGCTGCCTCTGTCCGGCCGTTATGAGCTCTAACCCTCTAGAACTGTAATCCAAAATAAAGTTTTTCTTCTCTAAGTTGCTTTGGTCATAGTGTTTTATTACAGAACAGAAAAGCAACTAATGCAATATATAAATGATCTCAACATTAAACATGTTTGAGAGTCAAATGGAGAGTTGATTAAAACACAGATTCCTATGAACCACCTTAGAAATTTCAGTAAAGCTGGTCTGAGTGCAGCCTGTGAGTTGATATTCTTCCCAAGCTTCCATGCATGATGAACTGCCCTGGGGTACCTCAGTATGTGGCAGGTAACTGATATAGGGTCTATAACTCCATCTAAATGATACAATTTCTCCTCCAGACTAAAACAATGGTACTTCATGTCATCATGTATAGTGATATAAAATAATAGTGTTAAACAATGTGTTTCATGCTTCACACTGAGTACAGCTTATTATGAATGATGCTCTGGTAGAATTTAATGCCTTCTTTCCTCACACTAACCTCCACCATTATCCATCACCACTCAATGAGACAGTGGTCTTACTAGAATTAAGACAATCTTATTTTCTAATGATGTTATATATTTAAGTTGAGGGCTTTGGGGCATTTGGCTCATTTGAAAGATAATTGAAGTTTCTACTTCCATCTTATATCTTAACACAAACACAAACCAGTGTTTTAAATGTTTATTTTCTGAGTAAGTATGTGCACCATATGTGTCTAGTACCAATGGAGGCCAGAGGAGAGAGTTTGATCATTTAGAATCACAGTTACAGATGATTATAACCCACCATAGGAGTGCCATGAATCAAATCTCAGTCCTCTAGATGAGCAGCCAGTGCTCCTAACCACTGATATTCTTACTTTTACTTGCATCACCCATTTTTTTCCTGCCAGTGAGCTCAAATATCTCTCTTGCTTATTTGTTTCTTGGCATTTGCTTAATGGTTTTGTTATTTCAGCAGGGAATTGGCAGGATAATGACATTCTATTTTTAATGGAGATATACAAATTTCAATGCATAATTAATGGATAATGAAATGTCACTTTTAAAATAACCACTAGGACATTTACACATCAGTTCCTTTATTTACTATTTTCTGAGTACCAGTTTCCTTCCTATGCAAGTGATAAAAAAACGATCAAGTGATAGAACCTTCCTTCTCAACCTGCCCAGGCAGCCGTTCCTGCACTCTGGGGTTTTGTCCGGCAGGAACCTGTACCACAGGCTCGTTTTTTAATGCAAGATTATTTTATTTTATGTGAATGCATACCACGTGTATGTCTGGTGCCCAGCAATTATCTTTATACTGGTCCACCTGCAGTCTGTCTAAACTCTCTGAGAAGTGACAAAAAAAGAAGATTATGTGGTAAGAAACATTCCCAAATGGCAAGTTGGAGAGGAATTCTGATTCAGTCTTTGCTAGGTGGGCTCCAGTAGCCTTGTAGAACTGTTTCTGAGTTGTCAAAAGTAAGACACAAGTCAAAGGGCCTAGAAATTTTGTATTATATGTGCTTGAGCTAATAAAGAAAGACTCCAATATGGTAGTTTCCCAGGTTCAATTCTGACTTGGGAGTGAGTGTCCAAGGAAGACAGGTTGAACCTAAGACCTTACCTTTTAAAAACTATTTTGAGATTATAATTAATCATTTTGCCTTCCTTTTCCTCCCTTCAGACCCGCCCGTGTGCCTCCCTTGCATCATGGCAATTTTTCTTTGTTGTTGTTGTTGTTGTTGTTGTTGTTGTTGTGTGTGTGTGTTCCTAAATATATAAATACAACCTGCTCATTCTGTGTGGTCTTTTCTGGGGAAGACTCTTGCTTCTGCTCTCAGTATTCCTTAGTTATCTATAGCTCCTTTTCTAGGGCTGAGGCTTCATGAGCTTTCTCCCCTCCATGTTAGCAGTGGTGGTGCCCTCATTCAGGTCATGTTTAGGCATCCATGTGGGTGAGACTTTATGAGTTTATCTTCTGACCTTTCTCACAGACAGACACGCAATCTCACAGAAAACTCCCTGTTCCTTTGGCTCTTATAGTCTTTCGCCCCCCCTCTTCTGCAACTATCCCTGAACCCAAGGGCCTGTCTTTACCTAAACAGGAACAAGTGGATCTCAAATGAGGGAGAATAAGTTATCGAGAAACACCAGGCAAGAGCAAACTGGCACCTGTTCTTTCTGACCCAATTATTCTTTTATTAACTCCACTGCCCATTAAATAATTAAATGCACAGGAAAGAAATACATGAGATTCCATAAACAAATGTCCTTTCGATCTCTGAACTCCAATTGCTCTTTTACATATACATCCTTGCTTCCTTATAGCCCATGGGTCAGCAATGTTTGCCTGCAAAAAAGCTTAGTGGGCCAGAGCTCCTCTAAGTAAACTCCTCAGTTCAGCTTTGTAGCACAAAAGCAGCCCTATATAATATGAAAATTGATGGGCATGGCTTTGTATCAATAAAGCTTCATTTATGGGCAATGAAATTTGAATTTCATATCATCTTCATGTGCCATGAAATATTATTCTACTTTTCTCTCAATAACTAAAATATATAATACTCATTTTTAACTCCAGGGGATGGGAATAATTTGGCTCATGGTTGACAGTTTGTCAACTTCTATCTTATGTCCCAGTACAGGACCACCTTTGTAAGTCTATCCTCTCAGAGGTTGGTACCGAATATGAGAAGGACCACAACATTTACCTGATGGGCAAAATGAGGACTGACCTGGGGAAAAATTTAGTTTGGGTGAGAGCAGTTTTTCTAATTTCCATGTTACGATGGGTCCTTTACCATGAATGGAGAGATTTTGGAAGGTGTTGGGTGATGGAATTGGTTCTTATCAAGGTTATTTCTGCACAGTGTTACACTAAAAGACAGACTGAGAACTTCATAAAGTAAATGTGGCAATTCCAGAGGATGTTTGATAATAGTTTGCAGAAGACCTTCTTGTATTAGAGAAGACAGGGCATACACAACATAAAAGGGTGTCAATGAAATGAGAATGTAAATGAAGGGGAAACGCAATTCTTGGTTGCCCCAGAAGAAAGATATTAAGGCAGATGATGATATGACAGCTTGATTGGAGGGGGCATGGATGTTATGCAAAGACACTCAGTCTTTGCCACCTAATATAAATGCTTTAAATGACTCATCCTGATTTTGATGAATTGGTGACCCAGCATTACCATGATCACATCAAATTTATTAAGTACAAAGTCACTCTAACATTAGACATGTTAACTTAATATAATTTTAATCAATGTTCAGGTACATAGTATTGTCGTATTCAAAAATGGTAGGTTTTTGGTTCCTAACCTGATAATGTATACAATCTGAGCACAAATCTTTTGAACTGATTTTATAATTTCTTGGTCCAACATGACAACTCTGTCCATAGAATGAAAGCCAAAAATAACAAACACATAAGCACAATAAGGGCAGAGGAGTGTACAAATCTAGCAAGTATTTATTGAGGTCTGCTTTGTGCTCATCATTGCTCAGACCCTGTGAGAGAATACAAAAGATTTTCGAGACTGGGCACCCACTTCACAGGCGAGCATTCAGCCAGGATTTTCCTTTACTGCACATAGAGAATAATGGAAGCAAGTCTCTGTCTGCATGCTCTGGGCTCATGGAGTTCCCTGTGCTCGCTGTGTATTGCTAGGGAGATGTTGATGAAGCAGTTTGAGAGAGAAAAAGAAAAGAAAACTTCTCTACCTGAAGTTTGGCTTCTTTCTCTTTTGAAGCTGGACCACCAAAGAAAGAACAATCCATTTCAAGTATTACTGTGAACAAATACTACAGTACTTGAAGTAAGTTAATGCAAAGCCATAGAGCATGACACCCACCACCGGCCACACTTGGTTTACAGTGAACAGTGTGCACCATTCTCAACGTCAGCAGTTCCAACAGTTCACATCACAGATTCCATACCAAACCCAACACTTGCTCCCAAAATACATCATTTCATCTTCCAACTCCAGTTACCCAACAGTGTCTCCATTTGTATTATCTCTGGACAAACTGGGAGGTCAAAGACATGTTTCCCTCTTTTACCCTAATATAAACATCTCTATTAATAAACAGAAGAGATGTCAAGTCCTAAGGCAGAAATAAATACTGAAAGCAATGTCAGTGAAGATGTCCACTCAAGTCAGATGCTCTTTGGACAACTTTTACTGAACAGACCATAGTTTTGATATCTAATGCCATG